TCGCGGAGGCCCAGGACGAGGGACGACAGCGGACCGACCTGCTTACGGAGGTGGTGCTGGCCCACGCCGAGTCCGTGCGGGGACGACGATGGGAGGAGGTGAGAGAGGGGAGGGAGGGGCTTACAGGGCAGAGGCACCCTTCAGCGAACCCCGACAGAGGTCTGGGGTTGCAACAGGGGCGTGCCAGGAACTTGCCTGAAAGAGGCCAAGGAGGAGGCCGGCGACGAAGGCCAAAGCTGTCCCCAATGACTTAAGTATATTGACTTGGCCATCTAGTACAAGAGGTGCTTACCTGTCCCCAATGACTTAAGAGGTCGAGATGGGGAACAGGTGCAGGATCTACTCTACCTATATACTGGAGCAGGTGCGCACAGACCAGGTACCTATTTGTACGTGTTTGGTACCTAAGGTGAGTATGAAGCATGTGACCAACGATCAGGTGACCTGTAGCTAGACTAATACCTATGACGTCCTTCAGGGTGCTATGGTAATCGTAATGACTGTGGTGACGTAGGGAGTGACGTAGGGAGTATGATGGAAGCCCGGTGATACCAGGAGGCAGGGCGCCCGTAAGGGCGCTAGGGAGGGGCGGACCGGCGAGGTTGATGATGAAAAAGAGACGCTGTGTGAGGTGCTCTGAGGGGAGGGAGGCGGATGCTGAGGTGCTGCGAGGGTGCTGTGGTGTCTGGGCCGAGTTCTGGTGGGCGTAGGCAGAGCCTAGGAGGGGAGGCGCTGGCGACTCCACGACAGCTATGTAGTCGGCCCGCTCTACATCTATCGGTTACTTGTCGCCGCTGCAGTACGTCTAGTGTCCCTATCGGGATAACGATGTACTAAAATGACATCTACTGCAGATACTTTTCATGACTTGTACACTGGGTAAGGCCTGTTTTGCGATTGCGCAAATCATGTACTGTTCCGCTACTGACAATACTGTACAGGATTCACGATCGGTAAGCCTCCTGTTGATGTCTCACGTCTGCGAAGATATTCTTATTTGATATCCGCGGTCACAGCGTCCACTGTTGAAGCGTACACCCTTCCCGGATCACCTCGTGCGCAGCTTTGCTCTAATCACTATCGTCTCAACACACTAGAATTCACCTCAGTCTCGACGACTTCAGGCACCGCAGCGTGGTACGTCGGACACACCTATCTCTACTATTTGAAGCATATAACCAACAAATTGCCATTCGCAGTGGCTTAACTCCGCCATCTTCGGCTTTGCGGTACTAGCGGATAATTGTCTCACTGGCACGCCTGTGGTCGTATTGCTACGCAGCCGTACTGGTATGAAGCGGTGAGCGGTTCATTATCTGATCACGCCCTCATCCCAGATGATCATCATACTTACCCACCATGTAGGACGGACTCACTTATTGACGTCTTGGTGATATATGCGGTCAATACGGGTACGGATACCGTTCGCGCTATGATTGCTCGCACAGTACTCACGTCGCCGCTATAGGAGTGCTTACATGGTAAGCCCGCGTTCAGCCCGCCCTTTACGAAGGCTTTAGTAACGCGATTATGCATAGCATATTGGGCTTGTTGGGCTTCATTTTCGTGCGACTCATTCCTAGCGCTATGTCAAGCACTTTCTAATCAAGTATTTCCACAGGCCGTCGTAACGCCTGACAACTTCATCTACATCGGCTTAAGCATTGTCGGGGTCAAAAGTACGTGTGAACATCGCATCGGCCCAAGCTGTTACTTATCATGCACGTTCGCTCTGACGCTAGTGTACGCCAACTCCGTACTCGCCGTGTGAGCTCCTTTCGCTCTCCCTTCATGCTCCGATGACCTGACATGCGCGTTTCTTCCCTATGTGCAGCCTCAACTGTCGTCGGTCTCTCTCGGATTGCTTGCACGCCGGCTTCGAGATGGGGTCCTTCGAGCCGAACTTCGCCCTATCCGGGAATAGAATCGACGCACGGAAATTGCAGCAGGTGAGTTTAGTCCGCATCGCCGCCTCCATCCTTCTAGTTGTACTGGCTGACTCGCGGCCTGGGGCAGCCGACGCCTGTCTCCTTAACGGTCAGCACGGAAATGGTTTTTGCGCCAGGGGCAGTGCATACACAAGACGGAAGCACAGGTTCAGAAACGACCGCCGCAAGCCAGGCGGAGCACGACAAACTGCGCGCGTCGACTCGGAGTCTCGTATGATTGGTCGCGGGAGCTGACAGTGAACCGTTCCGGATGGTGGAAATTTGAGTTGGTGCGCTGTCTCGAGAGGATCTGCGACGAGGCGGTATATACGGAAGAGAGAGAAGACCATTCGAAAATGTACCGCTAAGCTTTCGATGGGATAACCTCGAAAAATATAGGAACGTTGCCGTATAAGCGAAATAACTCTCTCGCTAGCCCGACATTGAATCATCGCCTGCCCCGCCTGAAGGAGTCATGTGCCATTCCATTGACTGAGGCAACGACTGAGTATTTGGGATCGGGTCCTAACACACGTCCAAAGGCTTCACAGACAAGCTGTCCTTCGCGCTTGGCCGCGCCGAACACGCAGCCCGGGGCGGCTAAGCACACGGGGAAGGGAATAGTCCGTGCCTCTTCGTTTGGGTGTCAGCTCTCTCGCATTCACGCGCGCATATCGCTGTATGTGGTGCGGAAAACAGGTTCCGGGGTACACTTCCCCTAATAAAGGCGGATTGCTACAAAGTCTCTGATACAACGCGTCGTGTGTCCGCCATATCAGTCACTTGCACTATACATACTCAAGCTCCTCGAAAATCATGTCAAACCTCAATATTGTTGATAGTTTACGAGACTGGACCCACCCGACTCTGATCTTACACCCCCACGCTAGACTTCAGCTCTGCGGCGCCTTGCACAGGCTCGTCGCATGAGCCATCCCTGCCGGAAGCGAAGGTAATGTCGTCGATCTGACCGACACTCTCGCAGTCCGAGAGATACGAGGAGCGCTGTCGAGCCAAACATAGCATCAGATGAGTGCTTCGCGGACGATGCACCGCTGTGGCGACTCAGCGACTTACCCGGGGCGCGTTCCAGGCGAGTGAGGATATGACCCTTTCGGGGTGCCGCGTTCCACCTGCATCTTGGGGTATCTCGGGCAGGTCGAAGGTCGTGAAGTCGTCTGCGAAGCGGTTGTTGATCTCACGTCGCGAGTTGAGCCTGGTTTCGGCCGGTCAGTCTCCTCCTTGTCACGCGAGAGTTTCTGCCGGTGGGGAGGGTCTCACACTGCGAGCACGGAATTAGCGTACACTGAGAGCGGCGGGGTGAGCGTTCTTGTATGGGAGAAGGGGACACAGTGCTCGCTCACGCTTCGTTCCGACGATGCTGAGCCCGGCGTATATCAGATTTCCGGGAATTATAAGTGCCTGCAGGGTGCGTTAAGAGCCGGGTGCAATCCCGAAATACATCAGGGCTCACGAAGATGAAAGAGAGAATGCTGAATATGCTAGAGGATGCGCATTAGGTAGGCGAACAAAGCGCGTGTCGCAGTACTTCATACCTCGTTAAAACACCTAGAAAACGCGGCTCAGGAAACGAGCTCTGCGTGTATGATCTGCGACGTACCAGTATTGATACTGTATATGATCAACGTATCGAGTATGGAGTCCGTCCTTGGTCCACATCAGCGCGAGCCTGCAATATATAGCTAACGAGCGCACCTTTTCGAGCCCGTACGCGAGCGATGGAGCACAAAGACAAGGGTGCAGGCCAAAACAACATCGCCTACTCCAGCGAGACCATATCCCACGGATACAAGCCACTACGCACGTGTATGACATACTATGCAACCTGCGAGCGACTTCGACAGACTCACGCTGATGTTCTGGAAATCCGCGATACTGGGCGTAAACCTGAAACTGTCGGGGTGCGGTAAGCATGAGGATTCGCGGCCCAGTATGTATTTGACTTACGCCGATATACTGGCGGCTGTCGGAGTAAGAGGCGTCAACTTGAATATAGGCTGGCTTGCGTAGGGATATTCAGCTCACCGATGGCGAATCCTACCCGAGCGAGTGAGTGGCGTAATGGATGACATATAGCTCTCACTAACCGTCAGCCATGACCAGAAAAGCCACCTGCGATGCGTGTGTTCAGTGAGCGAAGAGAGCGCACCAAAATAGAGACGTACGGATGGTGTCACAAGCCATCGGTACTTGGGGCCGACTGAGAAGATTCAGTACAGTTCCGAAGGGGGAATGTACGATGGCCGGCGACGTACTGAGGTAGACGCGACGAATGTAAAAGCTATGGAAGGTGTGGAAGCAACAGAGATCAACCTCAGTACTTTCACGAGAGGCGATGATTTAGCCATAGGAAGCCCGCCTACCATTCCGTTACAGTCACAGTGCACGCCTGCGATAATAGTAAGCCCACGGCAAAGGAGATCGAGCGTTGAGAGACGCACAGTGGTGACGACAGCGAGCTGCTCCCGACAAATTTGAAATTGTATCAATGGGTTTCCAGTGCCGTATTCCGAGGGAAAGTATGCGTACCCTTGCAGACCTGAGCAGTTCAGTGAGCTTTGTAGTGATTTTCTGATACTGTGAGTTCTTACCAATGTCCTTTTTCGAGGCTTCCGGAAATAAACGGATCGGCGATGAGGTAGTGGTACCTGTCCAGGATTGAGCCTCAAGCATTATTATTTAAACAGCATCTGCACGGCGTCTGGATTTACCCAAGGATAATCCACAACGCCGTGTGAAGAGCTTCTAACACACTGAAAGTAGTACATTAGGTACAGTGCATGTAGAGATCGAATAACAAAACTCACAAGATCACCAAAACCTGATGCTCAGGTAAGCACGGAGCATGGGCTCACCCGTGTGCTCGAGGCTCGCGCACGACTTGGCACGCGAAAGAGCGATCACTCACAAAAACTTTGACAACCGTCCGATCATTTGGGTAGAGCCTGCAATATCTGTACGTCTGGTGAATAGTCACCCCGTAAAGCCTATTTCTGTGCGTCAGCATCCACATTGTCGAATTAATGGACCATACACACATCATGCCGACACCCCCACCCAATCCGGTTGCGCCCAAAGTGGTGGCATACGGAGGCGATCCAAGTAGTAGTCCGGAGGTGGACGACATAGCGCCCCAGCGAGCTCGAGTTGTGAGCCCAGGATAGGGTGATACAGGGGTTGAGAAAAGGGGCGGCGGCGCGGATGAGGCAGCGAAGAGAGCGTAGGACAGTCGACGACTTCGGATTTGGTGTAAGGCACTGATTCGTATAGAAGCGCTTACCGTAGTAGGGTGCTGTGCACTTGGTGGAGCCTATATGGCAAGGAAGGAGAATGGGAATTGCGGCCATACTTGCAGTATCGCATGGCGGATGTATGGAAAATTTTGGTATACGGTGACAGTCTTTCGTTCACGTTGAATGCGGAACATGCTGACCACGTGGAGCGAACGGTTCTAATCTTGAAGTTGGGGCAGCAACCTTTCAGCCGAGACAGCTGCACGGCGGCCCCGACTGAACCTGGCCAGATTTCACAAGTAGGGCGCGTACGGCTGCTTATGCGCAGGGCGACTACGCGCCGTGTTGCCTCACTGGGAGACATGAAATTTGTTAGCTCGACGAGGTACTGAACCATAGTGCAATTACCTCGATGTGAGTATTTCTATCTGCAACACGCGTGCGTTCAGTAGTCACCTCGGCCTCAAAGTAGGTTCGTTGAACCTAGTTGATGACGGGGCCACACGAGCAGCACAGGCGTCAGTTGGACCGAGTCCGGAGCCGAGCTCGGGTTGTTTGCGCATGTTAGTATCCCGGGCCAATAGCCCCCCGATTTTGATCTGGCGTGATACCTCTTCGGACTTGAGGGTGAACGGCGATGCTTCGCACGCCAGATCCGATTCCACCTTTATCCATCTGGCCACTGATCAATTGCAATCTGAAACTCCCTCATTTCAACGACGACGACTTTGGGGTGTCAGGCAAAGGATAATAAAACATTCAAGCAGTTACAGAGTGTGCAGAATGACATAGCGAGTCTATAGCAAAAATGAGCCAGAAAACATTCCGAATCAAGCTACCACCCCGGATGCCTCCCCGCGGGATTCTCGCGACCTTCCTGAGTGCACCACAACAAGCGGATGTTGGCCCCAACAGTGACACCTCTCCTTCACCACTTTAACCTGCTGCTCCGCCTCGGCGAGTTTCTGCTGTGTCATTGAGTGCATATCGGCAACCTCATGAATGAGGAGGCACGACGTCCGGATAACGAAGTCGGCTCTCTGTTCGTAGGCCCTATGCTGGCGTGACTCCTCGTTGATGACGAGCTGCGTGAGCCTGGCAAAGAAAGGTAGGAGTGCTGAAGGAATATGTTCTATCAATTGGTGATGTCGCAGCTACCGATGGGGGCACTCACCGTTGGCCCACTGCTCCGCCTCCCCACACTTAGATCCGCCTAGATGCCCCTCGAACGTCCATTCGCTATGATCGGGCCCTTGGATGGGCTTCAGGGATATTGTATGTGTACTAGCAGGTAGCGCATTTTGGCTAGATGAGCATGAGAACACAAATTCCGATGCACGTACTCACTGGCCGCACGGGAGGTTGATCGAGGTCGAGAAGACTGCCAGAGACTCGTAACGAGGCGGACGAACGAAAGGACCTAGACGAGCACGCGAAGCAGGCATTATGATTTACGTACAGACGGGGGAGTGCGAGTAGAGTACGGAGTATCAGTGTACGCGAGCGGGAGGAAAGGCGAGTATTGCGCGTGAAGTCTGAACTCGCTCAGACGGCCGCGAGGTAGAGTTTACTGGTATTTGGCGCACCACGCGCAGACCTAGTGGTTCCCTCGATTTCGCGCGCACGCTGCTTAGCGGCGGAATGTCTGACTGATGAGCGATAAGTCATACCTTGAATGCGTGTGAATCCAGAATGGGATGAGGGCAGGCGAAGCGACACTTAGTGGCATTAGGGACGGAACACATCGCGCAACAGAGCAAGAACTAGATAGAGATCACAAAGTTGTCCTCCGGCTCTTCCTTCTTCACCAGCACCCTAGGCATCACACGCGACACGGCGTTCAACGCGAACTCCACGGTCCATGTGGTCCACCCGCGCGAGGCACGGCGCCGTCCAACGTCACGCCGGGTGATACTAGCCTCCGCCAGTACGATATCACCCACTACCAAGTCACGCTGAGAGAGCTGCTTCATGGCAGTCTTCGACTCGAACGCAGTCGTTGCGTCGTAAATCGCTGGAAAAATCTGATGCTAGTGTCAACGAATTGTGCAATACGTAGCCGTGCAGTATACGCACAGAGAGACAGTCGTCGCCGGTCGCTTCCCAGACGGCGCGAAAGGCGAGGTGTGGTTCCCCTGCTCGACGGTCAGGACTGTGATCAGGAGGCGTAAAAAGGCGCACTCACCGTTGCTAGGATAAGACTTAGAGTGTAGCATGTGGAGAGACTCTCGGTCGACATCGCGGAGCAGGCCGATCACCATGTGGCAGCCGGCGCGCGAAATAACGTCAGAGGCGGTATACGAGATATCTTGCATAGTGCCGAGGACCCAGAGACGAATGGGCTCTCCGCCAACGCAGAGAAATGCAGAGTAGCGCCCGCGTCCCCAGTTGGCGGTGGCAGGCACCCTTGCCAACGCCATGCGGAGGTTAGAGTCACGGTATTCCAGGAATGCCTGAATACGTCTAGAGATTTCCATTGAGTTAGGTAGTTGCGGAGAGCTTCCATCCGTTGAGACGACGTACTCGATGGGATATCCAGTGAACCACCAGGGTAGAATGATTGCCTCGCGAACCAAAGACTTCGGCGAGTCGGTCGCCTCCTCCGAAGACCCGCTCTCGCTGTCTGTGCTCACGACCAGCACGGTCTTGCTCTTGCTACTCTCGCCGCCCGTGGTCGTGATCTGCACCTTCTTGTGAGCCAGCGGGCTTTCAGGTGTGCTCCTAAGTAAGCATAAGTGCACGTTTAGTATGCGCAACGTGAATAGGATGGGGAACCTACTGAGGGCGTTTGCGGTCACGGCGAAGTGGGGGCATCGTAGGAGACTGACAGTGGTGTAGACTGATGCAGCTGCCAGGCCGACAGGTTGCGAGTATTTAACATGCCGCAAGCGCCAGGATTCGCATAGCTGCCGCCATAATGAGGAAGAGCAGTTTCGAAGTGATTGCGTGCTCGTGAGGGACAGCACTGACGACGATATGGCGACGAACAAAGAGGTGGTAGACGTCGAAGGAGGCGACGCCGCTGCTGATTGCCACGCTCAAGCGCTCAACGCGCACCTGAGCGCCTATTGTTATCTGCAGAGGCGGCCGAATATGTTCGCCATCGTGTCCAGGAGGCAAATACGATTTCCTTGGAGTAGAATCAACGAGTAGATATTTAGAAATGTACAACAGGTGGTTTGTGGCTAGGATATCACATATAGCCATCAAACTTGTCGTCAGAATCAATGTCGAGAGCGCTAGGATCCACGGATGGGGTATGGGAGAGGAGGAGAGAAACTGAGCGCAGCTGGAAGCCCGTGGTCCACGTAACCCATGCGGACGAGTCGCGATTAATGCGGCTGCGAACGAACCAGCACTCTACAAGCACCAAATCTCCAATGGACAAGTCGGTCAGGGGCAACACCTGCATTTCATGTTTTGCCGTATAGCGAGCGCGAGCATCGTAGATCTCGCGGAAGACCTGTGTACAGTTGTAGTAAGGAAATACATACGAATAGTGTTGATAGGCTTACTTTGCGATTCGTAGAGTCCATTCTGTCGGCACAGAAATCCACCTTCGTCAACCACGAGCGTTCTAGTACAAGATGACGGGTCAGTCTACTGCTCGGGCTGACCATATCGTTCGACGTACCTAGCCTCTGAGTCGGGTTCGCCGCATTCATAAGGCGCCTTGTTGCGGTAATATCGCTGTCGCGAAGGAGGTCCAAGCAGACGCGAGCGGCCGGCCGCGGGTCTTGGAGCATGGTGAAGAACCACATGCCTTTCAAGTGTCCTATAGCCCATATACTGACCACCCGTCCGTTGCGAGAGAGACGAGAGGCAAGTGACCCAGACCCCCATTGACAATCCATGGGAACGTCCGCCAGGTTGTAGCGTTCGATATGGGGGTCGTTGTAAGCTAGAAACTTATACAGGCGACTGAAGGCGGGTCAGAATTAGGACCCGGGTGATGCAGACAGCGTACGTACTGAAAGAATGCATTTGGCACCCATATCTCCACGGCCGGAGTCGAGTCGGTAATGTCGTCCCACATAGTGACATCCTCGGCCGCCGGAACTCCGCCGTTAGGGATATCAGAATCGCTCAAGGTGGACGAGGATGAGTAGTCGGAGGGCAGCCCCTGGGATATCGCATGAGAGTCGCATGTTGCACGGCCATCCATGGTCGATGAGGCCCAACGAGTGGAAAGGATGGAGGTAAAGAAAGGTGGTTGTGCATCATATGGCCACGACGCACTCGTTGCGAGAGAACACAAGTCCAAATAGTGGCGCAATAACGACGTGCCAGCTCAAGCAGCTCAAAGTCGCAAGCGCCCCGCGCTCAGGCTCTAAAGTTCGTGCGAATACGGACATAGTCGGCTTCCAGCTGCAGACTGCCATTCTTGCCAAATCTAGCCATCGTAACGACTCTACGCAGACACCAGATAAACATTCTAAACATCGGGAGCAATTATGTATGTTTCTAGATACGGATACTAGAGTATATTGTGTAGAAGGTGAAGAACCGGCAACTCCGGGGTCGGAAGAGCACACCCAGCGCCACAAGGCCTGTCATCCAAACGCCATACCACACGCGGCTCCACCTCCAGGTCGACCAAAGGGTCAATCCTCGCCTTGAGACTGCCCGCGTCCGAGAGTGTGCGTTGCTGGGAGGGACAAGCGAAGTATCGTGCGGCGCACGATCCGTGGTGGGTCCAGTCGGGCCACATACGCGTGAAGAAGCGCAGTTGAATCCCTCGTTTGCAGCAACTTCGAACGGCGTCCTCGAAGCCTGCGACATCCGGGCGACCAATGATGGCGCGCAGAGCGAATAGCAAGGTTGGATAGCCGCATCCGAAGTAGCGCGGGCTGACGTAGAGGATGTGGATGGAGGTGGGCGCCGAGATGATGGGTAGAAATGCTGTATGGGCTTCGCTCTGCCACAGCGTGACCGTGCCCAACGGTGTTTGAAAGGCGACCGCCTGCTCGACAAGGAAATGCGGCGGTATGAGCGCGACGTGGGGGAATGCGAAGGAATGAATGAGGTAGGACGCCTGCTCAACGAGCATGTGGTGGAAGAGTGGTGGCAAGCTACCGATGGGAAGGAAGATGTCCAGGTTGCGGGGGCGGATGGGCGAGCCTCTCAGAAAGAACTGGAGAGCTACAGACCCCGAAATGAACGCGTGGTGTCGATCGAGCTTCTCCAGAAGCAGAGTGGGGTTTGGTACGAAGTTCGACACAATCCGACGCAGAGAGCGCGTTAAGTCGTTCTTGACGAGGGCCAAGGAAGCTTTCGAGGTCGCACGAAAAACCATGAGGGAGGGTATATCCATGAGGGACACGATGATGGAGGTCGTCTCAAGACTGAGCGTAGGCCTCGCGAACGGATTCGCCATGGCGGAGGCTGAGGGCGAGTGATAGAGGGGCGAGGACGGCGTAGGCAAGAAGTGGGAGGTTGAACGTCGAGGGGTCGATGTGGTTGTGCGACGCTGACTTCAAGTTCCCGACCAGCTTCGGATTCAGAGCAGCGTCTGCAGAGTAAATTATTAAACCACTTCCGAGTCCGTTACAGTGTATCTACGCGTGAGCGATCTGTGAACACCGATTATAGTTGAGCCGTGATCTCGTCTACCGCATCCACATTGTCTCCATCCGACACATCGGCCGGCGCAGAGTAGAGAAGGAAGATACTCATCAGCTCAAACCCCACATCAAAAGTTGACCAGGATTTCTTGGACTTTCCCTCCGTCGCATGCCTCCATCGGGTGAAGGTGCATTCCACGACGACGACGTCGTTTTTCCCTAATTCGACGGGACTCAGTTGTGGCATGGCGGACTTCGCGGTTAAACAGGTCGTAGCATCGTAAACCTGTCTGAACGCGGCAGGCTACGGCGCGGTTGCTATGAGATCAACGTCGCAAGGGGCTGTATCAAGGTACGTACCGTGTCGCAATACGCGCCTCTCTCACGCTGACTGCAGATCCTGCCTGCGTACAACGTGGTCGGTGTGGATTCTTGGCTCGTGGTCAGCGCGTGCCAATGTGATCAATGTTTTGAACGTACCTGCACGCGGACGAGCACGTCCGAAGAGCTCGCTTGCAGCAGCACTTTCCTCGGCGGAGTGCAGCGTGAATCCGAGATTTACGCGAAGATGGGGGTCGCCATTGCGGTCAAAAAACCACAGGCTCCGCACACGACCGACGAGCCAGATTAAGACGGGTTTCCCTCCAATACAAAGAATCTTTTCGGTGCGAGGAGCGCGGCCCCAGTCTGCGGTGCGAGGGACCATCGTCACAGCAAATCGGTTGCTTGTGACGTCTCGAAAACGCACTATGTTCCGAAGCCGGCTGTTACACTGCGTGAGCGCCGATATTGTGAGAGGCAGCATGGAGTTACGCACACGAAGACCTCGAGTGGCACGTAATCAAGCTCCAAAAACATCACAGCAGGACGAGGAACGGGGTCTGGGACGTCCGCGGAGGGCAGAAGCGCACGCTGAGCAGGCGGAGCTGCAGAACCGATCTGCGGGACAGCACCCAGCATGAGGTTAGAGTCCACCGCTGATGCAGGTTGCTGTGTTTCAACTGGAAGAAAGTTGCACATTAACCTTGAGGTACGGCAGAAACGTAATCCGGGCTACATACCTTGTCCGTTGCTGGCTGCCACCGTCGGAGCAGCGGCGATGACCTCGCCGGCAAGCTCGGAGGGTACCTCAAGTGAAACCTGGCCGAGGGACGCCGGTGTGCTGGCAGAGGCGACTGGCCCAGAATCACCTGAAACGACAGGGGCTACCACGCCAGTCTGACCAGAGGAAGGGGCGAGAGCCTGCTGCACAATCTCAGGAACTTGCGCAAACGCTGGCGCCGATACGGCCGTAGGTACGACCACCGCGCGCAGATCGGGCGATGTGGTGGGCTGAGATAGCGCGCCGGCGGATGTAGCGTTTGCGGCAGCGTCGGGTACAGCAGTGATGCTGAGAGTAGCTGCGGACGCCTGACCGCCCGGTGCAGCCATGTCGACAGGTCCGGACGCTGCCATGATAGCCGAGTGTTCGAGCAAAGGAGCCGATGTGCCCTTGATACCCACCGCGACTACGACGTCCGTGTCCTCGTGAGGAACGGGGGGCGCAGCCGCGCTGTCGGGAGGGGGAGGGTTGGCGATCGGAGAGGGACTCGGGGATCGCGCTCTGTTTCAAAGTCTGTAAGTATGCGCAGAGAAGGCAAAAGAAAGGTCCGGACCTGTTCTTTTTCGCCGCACGGGTGACTGGACCAGTACTCTCTTGGCGAGCGTGCTTCATGGCGCGGTTCATGGCTGTTTGGGATGAATGGAAGTCGAGTTGGGTGACTGAGCATCGCACAGTTTCATAGCACTTTTTATATGGCCGGGGCGTAGGCGTTGGTGCGCAGCTCACGTCCATGTTGCGTAGTTGACGCACCATAATTCGAACATATAGGATCATCTACGGTTGCGTGCAGAAGCCGTCAGGCTGACGTCTGAATGACACACGACATCCGGATTAATCGGTCAAGTTGGAAGCGGAGGAGGGACTCAGGAAAGCCTATTGGACCAGGAATTCAGGGCAGCCTGGGGTGGAATCGCGATCCGAGACGCCTGGATTTGGCGAAGGAGCAACAGTCGGCCCTGTCGGTGGCGTCAGCAAAGTCGTGTAACGAACGAACCGCACGCGCCGTACTTTGCACGGCCACCGCTTCGTGGGGGTGGCAACACCCATGAGCACACCGGCTTCCTAACTCTGACAGAATGGTGGCGTGCGAGCACTGTGATTGCAGGCAGACTGAGAGCGGAAGGGCAAAGTCCTCGGCGCTCACCTGGCGAGAACTCTAAGGCCGCGACGCCGCAGACGTCCAGTCCAATCCCATCCCATCTCCTCTGTCTTGACATCCACCCGCACTCTCTCAACGTACGTCACTGAGTGCCATGTCCTTCATCTCTGGTGCGTGAAGTTCTCCGGGTCGTGAGGCGTCGTGAGCTGATACACTTCCGGGCAGTAAATGAAACTCAACTGGCAAGAGACCTGTGGCCGGAAGGCATTGGGCGCCCGACTACCGACCAAGCGCACTTGAAGGACCTTCCCAGCTGGAAGGTAGTTCCTGCGACATACGAGGGACTCTGCCAGTGGGTCTGCATCGATCGCGAGGACGGGCAAACCTCACCTAAAGTTCTCGTACACCCCGATCACCACGACACGGAGCGGAAGGAGGTAACACTGCGTATACAAGGGATCGTGGCGGAGTCCAACCTCATTGCGCTGGGCAACTGGAATGGGTGAGTGTCGTGGTCATGATGGCTGGGAGACAATGCTCAACCGCAGCACGCGTCAGAGACGTTCAACACGCACCCAAGGCGGTACAAAGTCTCACGCTGACTGGCGGCTCTTGCAAGGACGTCTTGGACGCCCAGCAGCACGCGCTAGCCAACATCCGTGAGCTGATCCTCAAGCTTCTATGTCTACCGCCATCGATACAACGTCACGGCAAACGCGAGATTGCACTGAGGAGACGGGTGTTCACGAAGGTACGCAAATTATTGCCCCATTGTGCTTCGTCTCTGATAGAATTTGGTCTTATCCCAGGTCCAAGCGACGTCAACCTGCAAACCAACGCTCACGCTGACCGCGCAGGACGACCCGCTCGGACGTGCGGCAAAAATCGCTCACATGTGGAGTGTAGACCATCGTGTAGTCGTCGGCATACAGCGCGAGGACGGCGCAATCGTACGCGCCAATCCGCTCGTCATACGGCGTGGTGACCTGGTCGACGTCGCAGTCACCATTGAAGTAGTCACCATGCGTGCTCGGAAGGCACGCAGGACCGACATCCTGTTCTGTCCGCAAGAGGTAGTGAGGCTGGTATCAGCTGCGAACATGACAGCGGTACGCCAACACCGTTTCTCCTTAAATCTATACTCCGTACTTACTCATTCCATTTCATAGCGCTTCCTGAAGCCGGTTTCTAATCGTGCCCTGGGTGCACCGTTGGCTGCGCGTCGACCTTCTGGCGTTGTCAGTGGCTTTGAGTTCGTCGAGGATGGGCACGAGGGAATGGAGGTCTCCCCTTCTGCGTGATGGCCTTGTATCGTGTAGTAGTTCGTGATATACTCGGTCGGTATGCGTATGCAAACTCGGAGAGTGTTTGTCCAATATGTGCAGGTGCAGCGGGTACCAAATATATGCAGGGGACAGCCTTCATATCAGACTTAGTGAGGTGTTACTGCCCAAAGCGAAACTCAGTAAGCCGGTAACAAAGTGTGATTGTTCATATCTCGTCGCATACTTGAGGTATTCCTTAGTACTTTTAGATCTGAGAGATATGCAGTAACGCAATCATATCGGGCTTGGAAACGTCACATGATTATACGACGAGATGGTTCTACTCTCCGAGCAATGAGCGTGAGCAAGCATACGAACTCCCTTCGACCCAAACCCCCGCCGCAGCGCAACCATCCCCACACGTCTGCCCGCCTCTCCACCACACTGCCGTGAACACCTTCAACAAATCTACCCGCAACTCCTTCGACTTCCGGCCCTCCAAGGGATACAGCGACCCAGTGACGCAGTGACGGTCTCCGAAGTACCGCATTGTGAGAGGGCATAACGCGGAGCCTATCCCCGTGCACTGCGCGCTCGGGTCCGCGGTGCGTATCCACGAGAGGGGGCTGAGATGTAACTCGAAGCCACGAAGCTCGTACTTGCGACGGAGCTCTTCGGGCTCACGGGGGAAAGGGACGCGAGCTTTTCCCGCACTTGCAACGCCATCCTCGAAGATTAGCGCATGATGGGCGTCGGTGAGGTGGGGATAGGAGACACAGAAAGAGTTCGGGGTGACGTAGTTCATCAGTGCAGTGTTCCAAAAGGTCGTGAGAGGGAGTAGAGGTGAGTTCGACTCGCTTTGAATGACATCAATGATCTGCCCGCCTTCGCGTGAGAGGCGTCCCACGTTGTGTATCTTCTTTGACACGTAGTCGGAGATGTCGAGGAAGGAGACGGTGTAGTTTTCGACGTTGACCAGATACGCGATGACGTGCCAGAAGAGGTCGCGTGGCACGTACACGTCCAAGTCATTCGGAGTCCAGGAGAGTCGGAAGATGACGGCAAGGGCGGTGGATCCAGACACAACCGAGCAGGTGATCTCCAGCTCGTGGAGGAAGTCGTGTGTGTTGCTGACGAACCGCCGAAGGTGAGCTTCGAGCTTGCGTGACATGTAGGATCCGATGCGGAAGTCCGCAGCCTTGCTCGACGAGCGAAACCGCACGAGGGAGTCGATAGGCAAGTGGTCGAAGAGCGTGACGACCATATCTTCCACGAGTGATGAGAAGATGGTGTGTGGATAGTCAGCGGGATAGCGAGCACGCGATAGTGCAAGAAGGGAGGTCATTCTTCAACGTAGGCGGGAAGTGGTGCAAGGCGAAAGGTTGGAAGATGATAAGCCGTAGAGACGGCGGTGCAACGGTGCGGCAGCGCGGCGGTGCGACAGGTGAGCGTAGCGTTGAGGGTGATGAAGCGACGAGGTGAGAGGGAGAGGGGTGGCGGGGCGATGGGGCGACGGGGAGATGGGGCGGCGGGGCGGCGAGGCGGCGAGGCGATGGGGCGACGGGGCGACGGGGCGATGGGGTGACGGGGCGACGAGGCGACGGGGCGACGAGGCGACGGGGCGACGGGGCGACGAGGCGACGGGGCGACGGGGCGACGAGGCGACGGGGCGACGGGGCGACGAGGCGGCGAGGCGGCGAGGCAGCGAGGAAGCGAGGCGGCGGACAGACAAGGCAGCGGGATGGCGAGGCGATGGGGCGAGGGCGCTGCTGGACTCTATGCAAGTGCGCTGGTCACAGTCGTGAGTGGCCACCATATATCGGACCAACAAGTATCGACCGCAGGCAGGTAGCCGATGGGTTCCACTATTTAGCACAAGGTGAGCAACGGAGTGTGCCAGAAGTCCTGGGTTCGGTGCTCACCACGAACTCAGATCCATGGCGCTGAGATAAATTAGTATTCGAGATATTCAGCTGAGATCCTCGTCGATCCGGGTTACATGTGTGCTGAACCACTGAACGGCTTGCCGCTGCCAATTGATACACAGAAGACCCGCGGCAGTGGTGAAACTTATTGGTTGAATCCAAACGCCCTGGACAACTAAAATTAGCGCTATGTACCTGCACAAAAAGATACGCGCGTACCGGCGGAGACACTGCTACCTGGACCGAATGCGCGTGCCGCAACGAGGCAGAAAATCTTCCGGTAAATGAGCCGTCCAGTAACCAGGAGAGTCGCGGTAAGTACGACGTCTTGTGCCGGGTATCCGCCAAGACGAAGCATGTAAATAGATATGTCGCCGTCGGTTCGCTGCAGTGGGGGCTGGTCGCGATCTGATGTGCAGCCCGTCATCATGGCGTGCTCCTGGGCATAATCGGAGCCTCGAGGACAACGGAGACGTGGACAGCGTGAACAGGCTGCGGAGGGGTATTCTCAATGAGCGCGCCAGAATGTCATCATCACAGGAATTGGACTCACTGCAACCAATAAGCTTGAACGACGTATAAGGGGTGTGGCCCATAGACTCCCCACATCTGTAACAGCCCTTCAATCATGTCGTATACGGTACGTGGATCGAAACCGGATGACTATTTGTACCTCATATCAAGATACCGCAGCCCGTAAGCTTGCGCGGTTTCTACATCCCAGACGGTGGCCCGGGTCGCTTCATACAGTGCGGAGCGCACAGATACCCCTTTGCTGGGAACGTTGATGTGCCGCTTGTCGATAACGTGCTGGAGTCCACGGAGGGCATACAAATCGCGCGCTTGGAAGCGCGCAGCCCTCGCGTAAGCCGCGTCTTCCAACGTTATGTTGTGTACTACGTCGCAGGACGTGCCGATGTAGGCGTGGACGGGGAGCGGGTATGGCGAGGGGAACTTATTGTATTCCGCGGCGGCATGCGAGGGGAGCTGGGCTTGGTGAATATGAGAGGGAGGGACGACCTCATGGCCCGCCTGATAGCACAGCGGTAAGTCGCAATGTTGGTATGACCGTATACAAACACTCACTCTCCGCCTCGCAGAATCGTCCGCGAACACGGATACTCTGTCCCTCACTGGCTGGATGTATAGACGAAATGTGTAGCATTGCGCCCGCGTGCGGCGATACCGGCAACGGGGTTGTTTAGAATGTCTATGTCTCGTATGCATCGATTCTTGGTGATGTCGCCGTCGTGGTACCAGGTTGAACCTGCGGGATCTACGTAGCGAGACGTGAAATGGTCGAAGCCGTGGTAGATCGCACCTGTAAGGCGCCACGTGTGCATGACGTCATTAACGGGCAGGCTGAGGTTGGCTTCGGGACGGATGGTAACAACGGGGGAAGTTTCGAGTACCAATAGCGGTGGGGCTTGTGTGAGCGTCGTCGTGACCTTATTCAAGGAGCGGCACGTAGGACAGTGAATCTCTATGCCGGTTGTAAGGAGGCATTCAACGTACTCACTTGTAGTCAAGCTACTTTGACCCGGATGGTTTGTCCTAAATGCGGCAGGTGTCAGATACCACGCGTATGATCGTCCAACATCAACTACATGCACACTCTCCGCGGTACAGGATCTGCATACCAAAGAACTGCGAGCGAACGATATAGGGCAATAAAATAAACACGCCAACAAATCGGAGACGGCCATCATGGTCCGTCCACGCCTAGGAAATCGATCAGGGTGTGTTGTGAACAGGACGTCGCGGAGGAGATCGCGCATTGACTCACCTGCTCCACCCTCGTTTAAGCAAGGGGGCAGACGCGGCCGGATAATATCCATGTATGTATTACCTGGAGCGACGGTTGAGAACCACTCCGGTCCGAAATCTGCGAAAATGTTGATCATGACCGTCAGCAACGAGTCATAGGCGCAACTCCAATCGTTGCTATCCCACACAAGACCTACTCGTGGAGGACCTGCTGCTTGGGGCAGCTCAGGTGCGGGAGCACTGTCTGCGTCGTATGCGCTTGCATCCTTCAATGTTTTGCGTTTCTTTGGACGAGGATCCCATTGTTCTCCACTGCGCGGTCTTTTGAGAGGCTGTGAACTCGCGGGTACAGAATGTTGCTCCGTCGATGTATGCACCGGTGCACCCACAGGAGCAGGTGTGATAGTGACTGGCGACAGAAGCGTCTTCAACGCGGCTTCGGTGTTTGTGCACGGCGACAGTTCACTATCGGGCGCATTTTTCCAGTCAATAGCGGGATGGACGTGAGAGGGGACATATCGCTTACCTTTCCATGCTTGGAAAGATGCGAGTAGTGGCCCACGTGTTGTGCCTCGTACATGAGATGGGAGCGAACCGTCTTTACGCAGTCGAGTGATCTCATCGAGCAATTCGAGCTCGCGGAACTCCCGACGTAAAGCCGCAGAAGCGCCACCTCGAATCTTGGAAGTATCAAACATATCGAAGATGACTGTACCCTCTAAAGAGGAGCTCCGTGAGAGACATGTATATATAGATTGATGATTCTTACAATGCTTCAGATGGACGATATTTGCGACGCGTGTGCGTCCTTGGCTGGCGAAATCAGTCATCGCGAAGTTGGGTAATATCATCACCTGTTCCCGACCGATAGATACCTGCATATCGTCGATGGGGAGCGTACACCGTACGGTCTTCTTAGTACGCGTAAGAGGTATTACATTCGGGGGCAGATTTGGTAGCTGAACCTGTCGAGGAGGACTGGTCAGCTCGACGAATAACACATCAAGTACCTGGCGATTACCGGGGATAGTGTGGGAGTGCCATTCGACGACAACGGCTTCTGCACCGTTGGTCGCGCATAACTCGGTCGCTTCATTATACTTGAGGAGCACAGGCATCCCTTTGCATAGTGACAGTGTGCCTGCGTGATGATCAGAGAACGTAGGGGGCAGGTTCCATAGGATTTCCTGCATACCTCGGCCGATGCTATCTGAAGTGCGCACGGGGTCCACTATGGCATCGTACTCGCGTTGGGCGCGACGGATAGAGGCGTGGTCTTTTGTTTGTCCCCAAGTGTCTACGGATACAAACGACGTTAGCGCGAGGCCTCTAGTCAGAGCGAATTCTTTGGCACGCAACGAGTTAATGGCGTCACGATGAGAATTCCGCGCGGTAATCATGGAGACAGCCCTGTATCGCGCATCTTTGAGAAGATTTGTTCCAATCCCAGGCCGGCATATTCGAGACAGCAGACAATCGATATCGTCTTTGGTACAGCTGCAGTAGCGCATATTTTCCAATGCTTTTTTGAACCGTAAGTCGTTCTCAGACATGCCGCGTTGCCGCATGTTCTCGCGGAGAATCACGACTGTCGTAAACTGATGCCAGAGGGCTTTTCCTAACGCACCGTTCTGGTGAAACTGGGATAAACCCGACGAGAACGCACTCACAGCATGGCTATACAGCGCTGGTGCCCGTCCCGGAGGCGGCAATTGCGCAAAGTCGCCCGCAAGGATGACGTTCTTCCCACCGAATGGCAGCAGAGTCTCAGGGAATGCCTTGAGCAGATGTTTGTGAATACGCAGCAAATCTACACAAGATATCATCGACACCTCATCGATAAAGATCAGTTCGACGCGAATCAAGCGGCCTCGAATTTTCTCCAAGGCGGAGGACATGATACCAGTAGACTCCGTGCTCGGCGAGAATCCGAGTACAGAATGATATGTCGAGCCTCCAACCAAGGCAGCGCTGCTCCCCGTTGGGCCGAGAACTATGAATCTGTACGACTCACCTCGTTGGTTCAGGAAATAGATGACAGCGTGCAAAACGCGTGATTTGCCTGTTCCTCCCATTCCGCCGAGGTACATCAAGAGTTGCTCGCTTTCATGATGATGGAGGTGGCGTGCAGCTATTGAGAAAGCGCGACTCTGTTCGTCGTTTAGGGTGAACATGGAGATAGCTCCATGCAAGAGAGAGGTGTGCGCGTCCTGCAAGGGGCGTGGGATGCCGTGCGCGTCATTAAGCTGGAGGTCGTCTTTGCTCACAATGGCCACAACTCCGTGATCTTCGGAGCGCGCGCCCGCTTTCGAAGCGCCCGCGGCATCGGCTGCGGTAGGCTTACCTTCGGGAGCGTCGCCATTCTGCATACGATCAAGTGCTGCTTTCCTTGCATCAGCAACGACCATTTTCCACTGCTTTGCAGGAACTCTAGGGAACTCGTACGATCTTGAAGGGCCTGCTTGTGCTCCGACCACGATCTCGCTCTGGGTGCTACATATCACTGGTGCAAGAAGCTTCGTAATGTGCTCCCGTTCGGCCATATTCTTGGCGGTACGCACTCCAATTCCGCTCGCGCTGACCATATCCATCATGCTTTGCTCATTATGCTCGTTAGCGTAGTCAGTGCGATCATCGTGCGTCTCTTCATCTGCAGACGATTTCACTCCGTACATCGGTGCAAATACCGCTGGACCCTGTTGGCCTCCTTCCTCGCGACGCTGGGCGGAATAATCATCGCGAGCATCCAGACACTCATAAAGTAAGTTCATGTTCTTCATTATCTGGATGTGCGAACTCTCAAACCGAGTGCGTTCAAATACACTCGTCCATGTCTGTCCAGCCGGACGCATGTCGTGTCCAACGCGCCATCCTCCGGGATGAAATAGTGTGAGCATAGCACAGCAATATTCCTCGCGATCACCTCGGTCAGGACGGGGAGGTGTACCGCCAACAAAATTGAGTATGTATGCCTGCTTCTCGTCCTTCACGTACACGCCATGGGTGGCACGCAGAGGATGGCCGGTCAGAAAGCGCTTAGTCTCAGGCGCACGCATCCGTTTCCTACCAGCCCGCGCCGCTTCATACTGTTCCCGCTCCGCATCTGTATCACTGGTATCATCCTCGGACACCTCTGCATTTGCGACATCGACGTCCATCTGATCGGGATCGGCGGCTTCTGACTGTATTTCTTTCTTGCTGAGACGCCGCACATCTGTCAGACGCAGGAAGTCGTACAGCGTCCATTCTGCGAATCTCCGCGGGCGAAATTTATAGTCGTTGATTTTGGAAAGGGGAACGACACCCCCACCAGACATCCCTAACATAACTCTATCAGCAGCGGCGTCGCTTACAGCTCCAGCCTCCTCCGTATCCTCTCGCACTTGACGCACGTACGAACGCCAGTGGAAAACTTTAAAGAGCTCATTTGTATAGTGGTCCGGGTTACCGAGAAGGTATGCACACACGGCAGGGCCACCTAACTCAGCTGCACCGGATAAGGCATTGACTATCTTTACGACTAGGGCCCTCGCTGCATCCGCACGGTCTGGGTCATCGGGTGTAAGAAGATCTGCGTTGCGATCCAAGACCGCGCGCACAGTTTCGAAGAATCCGTGAGTAGTCAGTGATGTCTTGGTGACGTAGTCAGTCACATATGCAACAATCGCCTTCACCTGTGTGCCAGACAGGAGGCACGAAACGTCCGTATTTGAATGTATAGCCTGCGAGAGAACAGGATTATATGTATTGATCCACGCCTCATTTTTAGCGAAGCGGATCGCACCGCTGGCTCGGTCAACTTGGGTGTGCTCAAACAGCTCTCGAGGGAATCGTGCTCGACAGTAGCCTGTTCCCGAGGCGTTGAAACGCCAGCACCCCTGCCCATGCCGACGGTCGTGGCGATTGGAGCAGAATACCAATCTATCGGTTTCCTCCAAGAAGGACTTATGCCATGCCGCTACATCCTCAGGCTCGTCAAACTGCGGCGGCGCGCGGGGAAGGGTAGTAGCTGGATCACGGATATTGCGCTTTAACCTCGTGCGTGTTTCCGAAGTGCCATCAGACAGATGTTCTATATAACTTTCCTCCAGCTCTTCAGCGAGCACGTCTCCTGTGGTTGTGGAGAAATCGCCTGTATGACAACCTTCAAGCCACTGCAGGAGTTGGGATTCAAATTCTGTATCCGCTAGTAGACGATCCCTCAGCTCTTGTGGACTGAGACTCCCTCGTATCCAAAGAAGCATATGAAGGTGAAGTGTGAGCCGGCCTTGAGCTTCGACTGTGCCATAGTAAGCGTCCGAGTGTCCAAATAAGCCAGGCTTGCTATCGTCTCCGAAGCCCAGAATAACACGAATGAATGTCTTGACAAGAAAGTCGAAGAAACGAGCTGCGCCGGCCGGGTTGTCCGCAATTGCCCGCCGACGGTCATCCGCATTTCGAAGACGCGGCATGTAGTTGCATAGGTCTACATCTTCTCCGCAGTAGTACAAACATAACGGGTTCTTTATATCAGCTGGGGCGAATGTGATAAAGAATATAGGCATCCCTTTTGCGATTATCAGAGATTTTAATTCGTTGCGCTGGTATTTCTTGCTCGTGTTCAATCCATTGACATGACCAGCGACGAGGTCGACCACAGACATGAGGTCAAAACATGCCTTTTCTGCGTCATTTTCTGGCCGAACATAGTCACCGGATTCTCCCCGAGAAATCAGAGCTTTCAGAGCTTCAATGTCGAGACTCAGTATTTTCTCAGAGACGGACGCGAAGTTGCGTTTATTAGTGAGCAGGTAGCCTCCCGATGCACTTGCACGTATTTGTTCGTGATTGAATGCGATGAAGGGAAAACAGCGGTCTCTTTCGAACCGACGATCTGGGTACATGAGCAACGCTCGAATATGCTCACCGCGATGCAGACGCGTCGTGATGTGCTCATTTTCGAAGCCGCCGAGGCCATATGGAAACAGCCACGGAAACATTCCTGGAAATAAGGTAGGATTGTGGTAAATTGACTGGGGCCTCCGCTCATGGCCATAGTACATAGCTTTACCACCGGTATCAAAGTATCGTACGGCGTACCGCACTTTCTGGTCATAAGTCATATCGGCGAACTCGTTGCCACAAAGTCCATGTACTACGAAGGAACATTGGCCGGCGTCCACGCCGTGCTCTATATCTGTTTGATTCACGGCTAAATTCTCCCCACTAACCATGTCCCGCTCACGATAAACAATTCCGACAGGGGGGACGTCCTCCGGGTACTCGTTGAGATGAGTGTGTGAGATACCAATACTATAATAGTCGGGGTGGTTCAGTTTGAGCCACTCTAACGCTCTTAATACCACAGCGTGACGCACAATGAATGGCGTACGGCTGATATCTACATTCGTAGGCTTTGCACTACCTACAAAGAGGATCGCGAGACACTCCTCGATATCCTTACGAGGGGGCGGAAGCATTTCGTACATGCGCGCAACGGGCTGGCCAAATATGATAGCATTGGCGGTAAGATAACGCTGTTTGCCTCGAGTGACCTGGGCTACACAGAAACTATGCCTATTACGTGCTATCAATAGTTGCTCAACATACCGTAGACCCTGCAGCTCCGGAGGACATGCACCAAGCCAGCGGCCGTTGGCCAGAGCATAGCGAGGGACTCGCCTCGCACGTAGCGGGCCTATACACTCTGAACAGATGGAGAACACCCTGGCTTGTCCCTCTACCCTGATACCGCCGTCATACACAATAGGGCCTGGGATTTCCCGGACGGGATCAGCAGCGCAGCTACGGACCGCCCGGGTTACGAGTTCTCCAGGGCGAGCAAGGCAATCTAACGGTAACTCACTTTCCATGTGTTCAGACAACGAGCCCACAGCGGTCAGGCGGGCGCACACAGCGCATGGGCGTTCATGCACCTTGTTTGGGGATATAGCTTCACACCAGGCCCTTAAGAACGAAGCTTGATCAGACGGCGAGGGCGGAACGGGAGGAAAGAGACGCTGTGGGGGAACAGAGGGCAGAGCAGGAGACGTAGACAGAGCATATGGCAGAGACGCGGGGAGAGCCGGAGCACCAAACGCAGACGGGTTCACTAAACCAACTATAGGGACCAGAACGTCAGCGCACCGACTGCTATCCACAGAGAGAGACATACGAAAGAGGGGGATCAATGTGTTGCACGTACTATTACATGTATGTTTAGTCAACAACTCAACAAACTCCGGCCCAGCACGTACCCCACGCGCGACCTTCACACGATGTGTTCGTGCAGCCGAAACAGCGTTGCGATGATAGCCACAACGAGGAAGGAGCCAGAGGGGCACACCGACCGCGACGAGCGTGGGGTCTGCGACACACGACGGAGCAGCTTCAACGAGAGTCGTGCATCGCTCAAAACGGGCGATGAAATCGCACTGCGGGATGACGCCCGCGACCACTTGGAGACTCACCAGTTCACGGCGAGACAGACAGCGCCGCGGTACTGGGAGATGATATGAGGAGTGGACAAATGCGAAAAAACTCGGACGGCTTACCTGCAACTGCGCCGCCGGCGACTTTATGAACAGACATAATACGATAGCGACTGGGGGCGACGGTAGGCTGTCAATAAAAGTTCATGATGAGCAACGGCGGGTAGCGAACGTGAAGAAGAACGTACGTATGGCCCGCGGAGAACGCAGCGACAAATGCGAAGAGTGGGGATGAGTGGTGGTGGGAGGAACGTAATACGCGATGCGTTGCTGGCAAGCGGCGAGAGAGCCGCCACAAAGAGGAGCAAATCAGCACAAATAGATGCAAGTAAGGAGAAACCCGGGCTTCTGCAAGCTCAGAACGGGTAGAGCCGGGTGCGCCTGGATTCACGTGACCGAGCCATTTCTCATAAGCAAGACCGATTCCTAGTGGAATCGGAATCTCTGCTGGCGTGGGCGATATCTAACCTTTCCTGCGCTCCGGTTTACGCAACGCTGCGCCGTGAATATTGGATGCGGGGCGGGGCTACTTTGCCGCGCAGGTAAACGCGGACATGCAGAACTCTCGCACGATGCTCCGTAACGTGGCATGACATCTGACAGCCTGCGCTGATGCGCATCGCCCGGGCCTCATGCTATTGCGCTACATCTATCCGGCCTCCTTGTACTCTGTCAGAACTTCGAGACAACCACGACACTCCCCCGTCAGACACCCGGCCCATTTCTCGCAACACTTCTCCCGGATTGCCTTGACTCGGACATGTCAGCGCTCGCAGCGAGCTCAAGCGCACTCGCGACACTGTGTGATCGCAAAGTCGCGAATTTGCCTACTGTATGAAGTGATGGTAAAGTCGCGAATATGGTCGCTCTATGCTGTTATTTCCGCTAGTTCTTTATATTGGCGCCCAGCGAAATACATCACTATTTGTCGTGAAGTAAAGTGATCATTTTCCACAGTATCTTTTCCCTTTCATCACTTTGGTTTTGGGTCGTAGGAGTGATCGTTTTCACGAGTCCAAGTTGTGATATACATAAGTACATTCATCGAGGAAATTACTACTTGAAGTAGCGAATATCATCACTTCAAGCTCGAGAAACAATCCGGGTCGCGGGGATAGCAGGGCTCGCTACACGTACAAATGACTGCGGAATTCATTCGGGTCCATGTATCGTTGTATAGAGAACAATGGCATTCACTGTGCACGCATAGCAGAGGTGTAGTACATTTCAGAAGATCAGGACAGGCAGCGCTAACCCGGCCAGAACCCGGCCAAACGCGCGCGCTCTGCGGATGATGGATATGCGGTCCGGATGCCTCGAGGCTCGACGTGCGAGTCCCACGTACACGTGTGCCAGTCGCCTCTGATCTCGACGACGTCCACCTGGTCCGGGACCACCATCTCCCTACACGTCGCGCCCAGCGCGGCCCTCTGTTTTCGCCTCGCGCTTCAGTTGCCAGCGGCCCTGCGGTTGTATCGAGGTCTCTTGGGGAGGTGCCCGTTCTCTCGCGCGTAGCGGCGAATGTTCTGCATGTAACGGGCCGCTATGGCAGCCGTCGCCCAATGGTGAGCGTATCTGTCCAGCACGGGGAATTCTTCCGCTGCCTACAGCGGAGAGGTTTGTTAGTAGCTGATACTCACATGCGCATGTAGGACTTACCGCCGCGAAGAAACGCGAAAGCTTTAAAACATCCTGGCGACGGAAATCACACTCCCAGGCAAGTTCGGCGCCATGGACAAGAAAGTGGATGCGGTACTGGGAATGGTGAGCTACTCAGACCGTGGCAGGCAATCACTCAATGCTAACTCACCCTGATATCAGTGTACTCCTTCTCATCGATTCCCATACTCTGCCGGATCCTCAATGTCTTGCCTCTTGGGACACGAGGCTTCGGGATCTTTGGTTGAGGCGGCGGAGGTTGTCCGCCATTCGCGACGGGTGCTGGAGCGTTGTCAGGATTGAGAACGGCGGCAGCAGCTTGAGCGGCGTCGGCCTGCGCTTGGGCAGCGTCGGCCTGTGCTTGGGCAGCATCGGCCTGCGCCCGTTCTAGTGCAGCGTTCTGCTCGTCGATCTTGCGCTGTGCTTCCTGAAGTGCTGCAGCATTCTGCACTTGCACTGAGATCATGTGAGTACCCTAGCCGGGGTGCGAAGTGAGAGATACGCTCACATCGTTCTGCAGCATCAAGGCTAGCATTGGCGGTCGCAAGGAGTTTCTTCAACTCCTTGGCAGTTGGTGCACGCTTTCAGGAGGGGCAGGCCAGCATGAGCATCACAGAGTGTGGTCCTAAGATGTGAGTACGTACCGGGCCCATTCTGTAAAATTTCACGACACTGAGCTGGGATTTTGTGTGGTACGTTAGTGGAAGCTGCCAGTTATGACTGGTCTACAGGGACAGCATGTCAATGTGAAGAGCTCACCGGTGTTGTGGATGTTGGTGGCAGATGGTGAGTCGTTGTGCGGGAATTTGGTGATCGTTGTCGTGGTTGACGGTGAAGTTTCTGCAGAGTCCACGTCGACGCGCGCGTGCGCATGTATGCAATGAAATCAAGTTAGTTTAATGTTGACGGTTAGTACTTTGTACGGGCTTTGTTCCTATTCAGTAACGGCATGTCGCCCGCATACGATTAATTTGAATACGACTTTGAACCCGCATTCAATCCGTCAGCGCCTGTGCGATCAGGTCAATCTCACTGTCAACCTCGAACTCTCACTGCCGGCTCTTCGACGTCTTCAGCCTCCCTGGCAGCTTCATGGACATACTTTTCCGGGTCTAGCACCAGTCCGACCTCTGAATGGGTCCTCCCGCAGCAAATGCACGGTCTCCGTGTGGGTGCGGTTGTGGCCAGTCGGTGACTGCAAAAACCGCGCGTGCGCATCGCCGGGGAAAAGGTCCCATACTTCTACGTGCGGCGGCGGCAGCACTTCAGAGAAGCCTGCATCTACCCAGGGTTGCGCTTTCACGCGCTCAGACTTCACTTCGTCGGGGTGCAAAACACCCGGGTGCGCACACATCCCAGCTGGTGGCAGATCATGCTATGGTCGAAGGTGAGTCGGTTGTCCCGGTTGCTCACTCCGGAAGCATGTATCCCTGAGCTGTCCTGTCAAGATGAATACAACAACGTACCCGACTTCAGCCCCCCTCCAGATCGTATCCCTATGGTTCTCGATGAGCCACCAGTACCCGATGCTCCTAACCTTCCAGCGGTTGCAGACGAGTACTTGGAAGCGGCGACGGAGGCCATCCGACGGCGTGTGTGGCAAGGGCGTCCTCGCACAACAGTTGAGGACGTGGACGAGGAAGACGAGCTCCCGGACAACGAGCCAGAGGAGCCTCACCAGGACCCTGAAGACGAGCTGGATATTGACGGCCCCCGTGACGCGCATGCTGCTCGTGATCGAGAATTCGAAGCCATCTCTGTCTGGGACGAACTTGCGGAAGGCTTCATCAGGGCAAGGATCATATCAGGTGTGTGACAGCATGTCATGCGTAGCTACCGCCACAACTTAAACCGCTGCCATATCTGAAGGGCACCATCTTACGGAAGAGGACCTTGAAAACCTTCGGCCCTTTGCACTCAAAGTCGAAAGCCATATGTCTGGGAGAACGTTCGCTAAATTGCCCCAGACGTTTCCGCACTCTAGTCTGGAGAGCTGGAAGTCCGTTCAGGCATACGCGTCTCGCTTGTCTGGATTCGCACCGCAAGTATACGACTGCTGCGTCAACTCGTGCCTGGCATATACGGGGATTTATGAAACCGAGGATATCTGTCCCGTCTGTGGACAGCAGCGCCGCAACTCCAGTGGGCGCCCTCGTAATCAGTTCATCTATCTCCCAGTCATCCCCCGTTTGAAGGCGCAACAGGAGAACCGCGAACGGGCGACACAGATGCAATACCGCGCGAAGGAGCACGTCCATGAAGACGGCATCATCAAGGACGTCATGGACTCGGCCCATTATCAGTCGCTGCTGGGCAAGCATGTTGCAATCGGCGAACGGGAGCTGCCACACCGTTACTTCGACGACGCCCGTGACATCGCCCTTGGCCTCTCCACCGATGGGTTCGCCCCCTTCAAGCGGCGTACGAAAACAGCATGGCCTCTCATTCTCATCAACTACAACCTCCCACCAGAGATACGCACCCTTCTGGCGAACGTGATGGGTCTTGGTATCATCCCGGGGCCAAAGAAGCCTGCAGACTTCGATTCCTTCTTATGGCCGCTCACGCAGGAGCTTCTCCGGCTGTCAGTCGGGGTTCACACGTACGACATCATCTCTGACACGTTCTTCGCGCTCCGCGCATATCTCATTCTGGTCTTTGGCGACATTCCTGCGATCTCAATGGTAATGCGTATGAAAGGCCACAACGGCCTCTCTCCCTGTCGAATGTGCTCTGTTCGTGGTATTCGTACCCCTGACTCCCGCAATAAAACACTCTATGTCCCCCTCCATCGGGCCCAACACCCCGAAGTTCGGGCAGATCCTGCTGCGATCCGCATCTACGATCCCCACGCTCTCCCTCTGCGCACACACACTACTTTCCTCGAACAGGCACAAGAGGTTCAATTCGCACGCACGGTCTCCGATGAGGAGAAGCTTTCGAAGCTGTACGGAATCAAGGGCATCCCTCTCCTGAGCACACTCCCTTCTCTGTCCTTCCCCAATTCCTTTCCATACGACTTCATGCATCTTATCTGGGAGAACGTTATGAAGAACCTCATGCAGCTTTGGACGGGGCAGTACAAGGGACTCGATTGCGGCTCTGGCGACTACGAGATCGAACCGACGGTTTGGGAGGCGGTTGGTGCAGCCAGTGCGGAGGCGGGTAACTATATCCCCTACGTCTTTGGTCCGCGGCCGCCCAACGTCGCCAGTGACAAGACATCATGGACGGCAGATACGCGGTCATTTTGGACACAATACATTGGCCCAGTCCTCCTCGAGCGGCGCTTCAAGCATCGCAGATACTACGATCACTTCGTTCTTTTTGTCAAGCTCATCCGACGCTGCTTACAGTTCGAGATCACGAGTGATGAGCTCGCCGAGATCCGGACCGGGTTTGAGCAATGGGTTCTCCAGTATGAGGAGTACGTACGGTCCTTGTCCATGACAGATGAAATTCATACTGACTACCGCCATTTTTACTTCGCCTTCCAGGTTCTATTATCAGCATAACCCCGATCGACTTTCTGCTTGCCCTGTCACGATCCACGCGCTCCTGCATATAGCGGACAGCATTATGAATGCGGGCCCGGTTTGGGCGTCATGGGCGTTTGTGATGGAGCGCTATTGCGGCACGCTGCAGCCCGCGATCCGCAGCCGTCGGTTTCCCTACTCATCTCTCAACCGCTATGTCCTCGATCAGGCTCGTCTTGTGCAGATCAAGCTCATCTACGGTCCTCATGCGCGTTCTCAGCTCGCGCTCAGCCCACCTGCTACTGCACCTAAAGGAAGACGTGTCCCAGGATGTAAGCCACCCTCTCACATTTGAGTGTTCCTAGAGGAATACTGATCATACCTATAGACGACACTTGCATCCTCCTTCCTGCTCGCCGCAACACGTCGCTAGATCGCAGCCTATCAAACAAGATCACCAGTGCACTCTGTACTCGGTTTGAAAGCATTCCCCCGCACATCCTCCGCCGTGCGCTGCCTGCGGAGATCGAGGAATGGGGAAAGGTGCGTGTACTGAATGATGGTGACACCATCCGGGCGGCTGCTATGGACAAGCCGGGAGAGGATGCACGCGATGCCACATTTGTTCGGGTGAGTGTCTTTCCTTTACATCAAGTTGTACATTGTGCTCACATGTGTGACCGATGGGTTAGTATGAGGTACTAGTTGACAGGAACACGCGCCATCGCAACCGCCCGATAGTCCTCGAGCCCAAAACCCTGTACGGACAACTTCAACGTATCTTCGTCGTCCAGCTGTCTACCATGCCGGCGACGATTCATGCGTCCGAGCCCCCTCCCCCTGTTCTCCTCGCCGCCATCCAAACCTGTGATATACAGCGTTCCAACAACGAACTCGACATCCACTACTACTCCAGGTTGGGTGCGATTGACTACGTCGATATTACAACCATCCAGTGTGTCGTCGGGCGCATCAAGGACCGCGGCCAATATGCAATAATTGACCGCAGCGGTAGCCTCTCACGCGCCCTATACTTGGATGGCGAAGACTAATATCTTTGTGAGTGCGAGTACCCGCCCAGGCCCGGTTTTCGCGGTTCGCCAGTGTGAAGTGGTTTCGCGCACTAATGATTACGTTGAACAGCCGTTTCGAGTACAAATGGCCGTTCGAGCGCAGGCCGCGGGGGTTTTTTGCATGGCTTAATTTACAACTGGTTGCATATAGATATATGTTCTGAGCTTCTCAACGTAGATCATGCGTGCATAGGCCCACTGCTTGATACTCAGCCATCCATGGCAGCTCAACGTCGACGATCAGAGTTAACGCGTTACGATACTATAGGCGCCCGTGAAACGAAGCGACTCGTGCGCGCTTCATATTAAATTTCTTGTGCTTGAACTACGACCACACCAGCTTGTAATCAGCTCTTGACACTCTCATCTCTGCTGGGCCTTAGGCATTCTGGCCATAGAAGCACATATGGCACAGTATAACATCAATATGCCTCTCGGTGGCAGTGGTTGTGCCACTCTGAAGCTATCAATTGAACGCGCCCCTCCGACTTCGCCGGAGACACGAGCCATGCCGAACCCATATCATGAAACTATAGTACGTATGCATTGTACTTGTACTGCCAAGCTAGTCCTGAACATTTGTAGACGGTGTCCAGCTGCTTTCATACTTGCTGCAAGACCATAGACCCTCTGGCCTCACCTGCTTCCGCGTCGTTGAAGAGCAGTCACCCTGCGGCATCCCATTTCCCTCATATACATCAAATTCCCATGGGCCAGCCATCGAGTCCACAGGTCCATACATGCTCGCGCTCAACAGCACGTTCACCTGCGGCCACGAAGTCCCCGCTTCCCGTATTCCCCTCACCCATTGCTCCACGTCCGGCCGCCCAATCCACGCTCAAAAATCTCGATCTCGGCCGCGCCAGTGTCCTCAAAACACCGCCAAGGAGGCCGCGCGACCCACGATCATCACCTGCGCAGTCCGTGTGCTCCATATCTACAAAGTCCCCCAGCAAATCCCCGACTGTCCGTAAGGAAGTACGTGCGCGTTCCTCGTCTATCCCTCCTCTCCCCACCCGTAAGTTCCCATTAAATGCCTTCTCATAAAGTCGCACTGAATTAAACACTATGTAGAGTTTGGTATCGGTACTTTCATAGCGCACCCAGAAGTGCAACGCGCCTTCTTCCCGAGTTCGGCGGGTCACCAGCGTGACCGCAGTTCGAGTCCTGTACGCCCTACATCACCGCTCCCCTGCTCCTCCCCCATACCGCAGCATCAGCGTGAATGCTCCCTGCCGCTATCTGAAGCCGGTCTCAGCACAGCGGACACTCAGCTCGATCCCGACCCGATCCACGATGCATATAAGCTTGGGTATTACAACGGGCGAGTTGAAGGCAGAAAGGACGCCCTCATCGAACAGAAGGCAGTCAAGACATGCAACTCTTCTGAGGTGCAGGATACTGAGCCAGTATCGACTGCGGGGGACCTCACGTTGGTTGCGTCTGACGAGCCTGATAGCCCGAAGGTATGCCATGTGATCTACAAGTCCCATTTGACCTTCTAAGACATACTGACATGTCTTAGTCCCGTGTCCCGACCCCAGACATCATATCAGGCTGTGAACTTACTCCAGCGACGCGCAAGCGCATCGCCGCGGAGCTCCAGCCCGCCCATATCAGCCTTCAAGCCGTCAAGCGATTCAAGGTGGCGCCATATGTGCCCGACTGGCAGTACCCCGAACGGATGTAATCATAATCTACATGTATGGTGGTATAGGAATTGTACTCTGCTACGTTGTTGCTACCAAATTCCGTGTTGTATGTGTGAGCAAGCTTAAGCCTCAGCGCTAGCGCCCTCGGCGGCATGGGAGGCCATACGGTCCACGGCAAATTAGGCGCTGCTGTCGCCCTTCCCTCGTACCACCACATAGTACTCTACAGACACGCTCACTTGCCACTAGCTTTGCCGTACTTCTCTGTTCGCTCACCGCTCATCAACACATGCCTCAATTATCTGGTGCCAACTCGCCCCTCTTGTCGAAGCACAACATCTACATCGACGACGAAGAGGCTCGTATTCAGTGCATCGTCGAAGCACGGGAACTGTGGCCGTAGCACGCGCCTACAGCTGCGCGTCAGTGCACCATCTGGAAGCTTGAAGGAGGCAACTTCAGGTATGAGCTGTGGACACTGTATGATGTGCTGTGTTGCGACTCGACACTCTTTGTGGCAGCTGGCTGATGCCTCCCTACAGACATAGAACACCTGTACGTGTAGCATGTGTGTGGACGCTCTACACGAGGCGGCCGATTTCCGGATAGAAGTAGAGCAAGCAGGTGCGCGCAAAGGGGCTCGTGCAAAGGGGACCGCGTTGATGCTCGCTGAAACGACGCGAACGGACACCACATTTATGGACAACACATTTGTGCACCCGGTCGTGCACCCGTGCATCGCTGCGCTGTCTCGAACACCTCCTGCTCCGGCACGCACGTACGTGCCGCCTCCGCCGCCCGCTCCGGCGTGAGCAGCCGCTTCTCCTCCTGCGGTTACTGCCCCTTCTTCGAGCTCCGCATGCACGCCGCCTGCGGGCCTTCTTCGCCTGGAACTACCAGCACTCCATCTGGATCTGCACACGCCGGGTGCCCGAAGAACGCGAGGTCGTCCAAGAACAGCTCGAACTTCTGGTGGCACATCAAGCACGGCGGGCACAGGATCTGCACGAGGGACTTGCCCGAGTACCGGAGCTGCGTGCGTGCCGTACTCGTCCGTGGCCCCCCTCCCCTCCTCGCAGCGCGGCGCCCTCGGCTCGCGGTGGAGGCGCCGCACACACCATCCAAGTCGTGCACATCCTTGGGCTCCTTAGGTGGGGATGCACGCCGGGAGCTCGGGTGCGACTCGACGGGTGCGACTCGACGAGTGCGACTCGACGGCTACGACTCGACGGCTGCGTGAAAGGGTGTTGCGCCGCCATGGGTTGTTTGCGCACCCGGGAAGGGCGCCGAGGCGGGGCACGGTCGCGGGCGACGGTGTCCCAAAGTTGGCGCCTTAGGCCTATGAGAGAAGGCAAAGCAAGCCTTGCCACGCTCGAGGCATAATATACTAAGGAGGCAGACCTGTATATAGTGCATCTTTATACGTTACTGTAATATATTTCGCAGCAATATTGCTTTGCACGAGTGTTCTGAATGTTCGAAGTAAATAACAAGTTCTAGTGGCGAGCGCGAGGCGCCCAAAGCACCCAAAGCGAGATTAGGCGCCAGCCTTCTGGAGGACGTTGGCCGAAGTGTGGAATTTCGTCACTCTTCCTCGCAGTATACATACTCGTGCTTTTCCCTACCTCGTTCGCACTCCATCACTTCACCACTAATTAAACTGACGAAGTGAGTTAAAGGTCACTTCAACTCGCAAAATTCGTCACTCCGGAAGCCCATAGTGCGATTGGTGCTCCCAACGCCAGTCTAGTCGGCGGCATCCAGCCGCCCGCACTTGACGACACGCACGAAGCATTAATCCTGGGGGTGTTTTTTGGGCTCATGCCAGTGTAAGTGTTTCTCAAACGGCCGCGATTGATGCTGATGTTTCTCTAGGTTGTATGGCCTCATATTGTATCAGACTTACCGGTACACCCGACTGCACTCGATGGACACATTGTGGCTGAAGGGTCTGGTGCGTTGACTCTTGAGGTCCGAACTGTGGCGCGCCATGTTTACACTGATACAATGCGTGCTAGGTATATGGAATATTGTGCGTTTCTTCAAGTTAGCTCGGAGTTGAGGCCGACTCCGACGCTAATAAGTGCTGATTGGCAGATTCTTCGAAACTGTCCAATCCGTTATTTATCTGGACTTCGTCTACTCTGTGTGAGTCCTGACTGCGAGCACGTAGCGCGTCAGCTTCCACTAAATATGCCTATATTATCATATAGCTACTACAACGTCGTCACCCATTTCTCCGATCCCTTCAACCTTTCGGCATCCCATCAGTGGTGCGTCCCATACCACTTCGAGCGATGTGCAGCTGGCCCGCAGTGGCGTAGAGCACTCACTGCATGCACTACGTAGGACAACAAGACTACTTGCACCGGCAGCTGTGAGCATGATATATGGAATGTACTGTAGCCTCATCCGGGTGCTAATCGTCGTGATGCAGGGTGCCACAATTGTGCTTTGCCAAAGGTAGCCACGTCTTACCTGGGTTCATGTGCAGTCACACTCATGAACTCGAGAATACATCTAGTTTCTATGCCTACCGGGTGTACCGTGGTTCGTGCCCGCTTTTCGTAGATCTGACGTCATATCCAGATGACTTAGAACGCTACTCCGCAGTCGGCGCGCTCTACCTCTACCGGCTACTCATTGCCGCTGCAGTACGTCTCATCCCCTCGTAGCTATCACATTTGTAAAGACCATAACATCGTCTACAGATAATAATCATGACGTGCACATTCGGTGAGCTTTGTTGTCAACTTGAACCGCCGCCGCTAACATTATCTACTCAGGCTTCACGGCAGGTAAGCCCCCTTTAAGCACCCCCGCCCGAGCCGACATCTCTCTTACTTTGCTTCTGTGACACAGCGTCCGCCGTCGCAGGGTATGTCCCCTCGTCATGTTCCGCATCATTCTGCTGCAAAATTCCCCGTCCGTACATCGCAGATTTCGCCTCAGCCTCGATGCATCCAGGGTCTATGGCGTAGTATGTCGAACATGCTAATCTCTACCGCTTTATGTGGACATAATGGGTTGCATCTTACAGTGGCCAAATCCCGCTGTCATCGGCTTCATGGTGTTAGCGGACGACTGTCTTACCGGCACGCTTGCGGTCATGTTGCTGCGCGAACGGCCTAACCTTAAACGGCGAGTGGCTTACATACTTCCCGACCGCTTCGTGTCGCTGATGTTTGCTGTACGTGCTGGATAGGGCGGAATTACTGCCCGGTCACCAACTCGTGTACTACGTCAACGCGGGTAAGTGACCTGTCCCCTTTCAGGCTGCTTTGGCTGTACTGATGTCACTGTTATAGGTATGATCATGAGGTACACTAATTGTTACATCTCATTGGCGGCTTCTGCTCACGCGGCTTTGTACAGTGTCCTGGGCTTGCTGGCTTTCGTATTCGTTAGTGTCATCAGCGCTCTCTCTCGAGTGTACATGTGAACTAACCTCACAGGCTATGACACATCATGGGAGCTTCATTTACATTGGCTTCAGCGCCGTCGGGGTCAAAGGTGCGCGCCGCCCTCGTCCGCTGTCCGCGTAAATTGACATCTATCACGCACATTATCGCTTATGGCAGTGTATGCCAACTCCGTCCTCGCGATGTGAGTACGCCCTTTCCTCTCATTTTGATACTGGGCTCTGATATATTTTTTCTTACCTTTCTCCTGCGTCCAGCATCAATTGTCGCCAACATCTCTCGGATCGCGGGCGCGCCGGTTTTGAGATGGGGACGCAAGTGCAAGATGGCGTCGCGGAGTCGGAGTCAGCAGCCACGGAAAACCATGCGGAGCACGATAAGCTCAACACAACTAGCTTCGAGTAAACCGTGGTCCAGACATATACAGTACGCGGTCACTGGCGAGTCCCGAATCAGATTCGCATCGGGAAGCCAACAGCTTCCGATCCTAACATGAACAAACATCCTCGGCGCTGGCAAACGCCGACGTCCCAATTTGTTGTCCTCTTACGCTCTCGACCAAAGTCGATCTCTATCCCACCCCTCTTTCTGACGCCTCTTTCATGCTTGTGACTACTAGCGAGGGTATACCATCGCGCACGGACTGATTCTTGAAAAGGCGAAAACGATCGTGTCACGCTGTTTAAAGTCAGCAGCGTCTAGGTTATATCCCCACAAGGACACGTACGCCGGCAGCGACGGCATCATGGTACTGATTGTTCAGTACGAAACTCTACTCACATGTTTTCGAATCCCAGCAGATGTCGGTCTCACTCGGCCTCAGTGACCTGAGCTAGAAAAGTCGCCGCCCGTCGAGCGCGTTTCTCAGGACGAAGCAAGCCTGAAAGGGGGGCAATCCGTTCATCAACTTTCCATCCCGCCATGGCCCTCTGTTTCAGCCAGTTTCGGCCAGCCTCGAGCCCTCACTGTTGGTGATTGATCGTTTCAACGCCCAAAGCTGCCTCCCATACAATCGCCCCTCTCTGTACCGCGATTCCCATCGTTCGGCACCAGGAATCCATGCACAGGTGTGTAAGATCTCCTTTATCTCCTGATCTCGAACACCGGACCCTTGCCTGGCGCTGCCGGACGCGCGCCACGCCGGGCCCCTTCTATCAATCGGCCGCACCCGCACCTCGAAGTCGGCGCTATGTAGCAAGGTGTACTACACCGCCACTTTCTTGCAGTGGCTCTCGAAGCTCCGACGCGGCACACTTCTCGATCTCGACGCAAACACGTTTGGGTTCGCGCAGTGCCGGCTCGTGCACGCTGGGTCCACGGGGCGCATTGGCGCCGTTGAGCAGAGCGTGTTCGTCGTGCTTCCGAGGGCGATGCGCCGCCAGCGATCTTGTTACATCCTTCTATCACTTAAATATCTTTACACCCTGTTTGATGCTTTCCACAGAGAGGTGGCGGCGATGTTCACGAGCATGATGTCCGCTCTTCCCTTTCAGAAGATGATGCGTGTCGACTTCTATCTACAACCTCTTACGACATTTACTACAGGCGTGATATGCGCCCATCGACAGATGCATTTCAATGATTGTACCGCCCGTACAACGACAAGCCACCAAAAGGCGTACTGCAAGGATACTCAACACTCCCGGGGAAAATATTCGCTCTTATCACCATTCGGCGGTCATACTCTCGCTGTATGTTATTCATTCTTGTCTATGTACAGACACGACATCTCTGACCACTATATGTGGCTATCCACCGCACCTGATTAAAAGGTTTTTGCTCTTACTTACGCCCTGGACTTTGCAGACTCGCCTAAGCAGTATCTACGCACTTGCTTCGCGAAGCCGTTCAGATGGACATTCCGAAGGTCTCACCTTCGCGCGATACAGAGCAGTCCGTGTACGCATTCCGAGTCGACCTCTGCCTGCGCTTCCGAGTCAGCTGACGGTCATATCCTAGCACAAACACCGGTCTGCCAAACCTTGATTTTGATTTTGGCATATCCTCGATCATCACCTTTCTTGCATGATTCTTGAGAGTTGAACGTTGATGGTTGACAGGTGCTGATGGACATCGCCCTACGTGCGTTTGCGCTATATCTACCCACACTTTTTGTGCGGGAACCAGGACGGTACAGAACACCCTGACTCGTCAAGGTCTCTTTCCCCGTATCACCGCTTCGCTCTCTCAGCATGATAGCCCTCGCAGCGAACCCCGACGCACTCAGTGCTCCTGCCGTAGATCTGCTCGGTGGCATCAAGTTGCCCGCACTTGACAACACGTACGGAGCCCTGCTCCTAGGGACCGCCCTCGGGCTCATGTAAGTTTCTTTACCAGGTACTGGACTCGGATGATGCTAATTTTTTTCTGATGGTGTCTCCTTAGGTTGTATAGCCTCACAGTGCAACAGACGTACCGGTACACCCGACTGTACCCTGCGGATGTACTGTGGCTAAAATGTCTAGTGAGTGGATCAAAGAGATCCAAGCTGTGGGAGGTTTCGTGGTCATACTTATCCAATATTTTCCAGGTATATGGAATATTGTGAGGCGCTTTGCCCGACGTTGGTGGTTATTGGGCTTACACGCGCCGACGGTTTGACAGAGTCTTCGAAACATTTCATACCGTCCTCTGTTTGATCGCGGTGTGAGCTTTTACTTCTAACGTATCACGCATCAATGTCCGACTAAGCTGTCGCTCGTATCCTCCAGGTACTACCACCTCATCACGAACTACTTCAATCCCCTAAGCCTCTTGGTCGGCCATTGGTACGTTCTGTACCACATCGGGTGATATGTACCCGGGTAGTATCGATTGCTTATATAGACTCGCCGGCATAGGACAACAAGAGTGCGCTATTCTATTCCTGCTCTCTATATGGGCTTCTGACAAATATCTATCGCTTTCGGTAGCTAATTACACCCACAACTGTGAGCACGTTATCTGGAAGATGTCCCGTAGTTGCGGTGCTCACCGCCCCATCATCTAGGGGGCTACAATTGTGCTCTGCCAAAGGTAGCTGTGTCTCCTTGTTGTCGAACCATAATCACATTCTCACGAATGCTTCTAGTTTCTATGCGTACCGGGTATACCGCAGTGCGTACTCGTGTTTCGTATATATCCAGTTCACGCCAGATAACCCGTTGGTCTATAACGAAGTTGGCCCACTGTACATATATCGACTACTCGTCGCCGCCGCGGTACGTCCAGTATTCGTCTGTCTCGAGATCGCATAAGCGAGGGCTATAACGTTGTCTGCAGATCACGTTCATGATTTGTACAGTTGGTGAGCCGTCTTCCATTCGGATGTCTGAACCTGTTATCATTCACACGCTAACGCCCCTTGTACAGGCTTCACGATCGGTAAGCCACTGTCATAACTCACATCGCGTCAACCATTAAATTGTATTTGCGAACACAGCGGCCACTGTTGAAGGGTATGTCCCGCCTTGGTCTTCGACACTATTCCGTATCAGTAATTGGTCTCCCGATATCACAGATTCCGCCTCAGCCTCAGTGACTTTAAACACGATAGCGTGCGTCAGGCGTATTCATCTTCGCCGCTGTACCTATAGTTAACGGGTCGGCGCCCATGGCAGTGGCTTGTGTCTGCTGTATTCGGATTTACGGTGTTGGCAGATATCTGTCTCACCGGAACGCTTGTGGTCGTGTTGCTACGCAGTCGCACTGGGTTCAAACGGTATGTAGTTCGCTGCCTGACCGTACCGTGCATCACTAATTTTGCGTAGGACGGACTCGCTTATTGATGTCCTTATCATATACTCTCTCAATACGGGTGCGTAAACCGTTTGCGTTCGTGTTGCTCACGCGTCGCTCACCTTCCTGCTAAAGGTGTGTTCACGACGTGAGCCATTTGTCTGTTTCTACGTGGATGCACTTCCTTACGTGACTTCGTTTAGTATCATTGGCTTGCTGGGTTTCATTTTCGTAAGCATCGTTGTTAATGGAATCGCGAGTACCGTCTAACCATGATCACAGGCCATCATACTCCCTGGAAACTTCATCTATATTGGCATCAGCATTGCCGGAGTCAAACGTATGTGTCAATCCTGGCCGTAGACCATTCATGCTGTCACTCATTGCGCGCAACATTCCTGACGGCAGTGTACGCCAATTCCGTCCTCGCCGTGTGAGTAAAGTTCGTCCCTGTACGGCTCTCAAAATTTGACCTATTCCTTTCCCCTTGCGTTCAGCCTAAACTCTCGTCGATCTCTCTCCGATCGCATGATCGCGGGCTTTGAGATGGGATCCTTTGAGCCGAACTACGCCATGCCCGGCCATGGAAGCAATGCACGGAAAGTGCAACAGGTGAGTTTGGCTCACAGCTACGCCAATTCACGTCCATCATCCTGCCAGTCCAATTTGCTGACGTGTGGCGGCGCGGGGTGGTAGCTGCCTGTCTCCGTACTGACGAGCACGGATATGGTATTCGCGTCGGTAGTGCAGACGCAAGACGGAAACCCGGAGTCCGAAACGACCGCGGCAAGCCAGGGGGAAAGCGACAAACGGTACGCGCCGAGTTTTGCGTAATCGAATCGACCAAAGGTTCTACCGTGGTAGCGGTCACGGCTGCAGGGCAGTACTTGTCAGAAACTTTGGTCGAAGGTGTCCGCACCAAGAGGATGTGGAGGAAAGACAATCGGAATGTAGTTCTCAACTTCTTGATACGGTAGTATTCTTTTCTGGGCTCGGATATGAACTTGAAAAGTTGCAGGACGTTTCCATCGTCGTCGGTTTCCTTCAAAGCGTCAGGATATTCGCCAGATTTGCATCGGGAAGCCGATGGCTTCCGATCCTAACACGAGTAAACAATCGCCGCGCTGGCAGACGCCGAGACGCTGAGGAGAGAGCGTCCTGCATCCCCTTTTCTGACTCCTCTTCCACATGCATCTGTCTATTGGTGGGAGTTACCCCATCGCACACACGCGGGCACTGCAAGACGCTTGAAGGCCCATAATGACTCTCTCACGCTGTCTAAAGGCAGCAGATTCTAGGCCGTACCCCGCTGCCGGGGACTTCAAATGCATCCTCCTCTCCATCAAGCCTCACATGCGATAGCTAGTGATTTCAAGCTTCCAGCAGACATCGGTCACGGCACGGCCTGAGTTTCAACGGCCCGCGGACCGCGTTTCTCAGGAAGAAGCAAGCCTGAAAGGGAACAATCTGTTCGCCGTCTTTTCATCGCGCGATGATGCCCCTGTCTGTCTGTCAGCGACTCTCGGGCACCCCCGACACTGGCCACCCAGCGTCCAAGGTCGTCCTCCAGCATGCCGGTCGCCCCCCCTTGAACCGACCCCCATCGTTCGACACCATGCACCCGTCCGCCAGCGTGTACACCAACCTGGCACTGCGGCTCTATGACCTAGTCGTCCTCATCATCTCGAACACCTTTGCCTGGCGCTGCCCCACGCGCGCGACACAGCTGCCCTTCTACCAAAAACACATCGGCGAGCACGCGCATCTCGAAATTGGGGTCGGCACGGGGTACTACCCCGCCGCGTCCGCGGCGCGGCTCTCGAAGCTCAAGCGAGTCACGCTCCTCGATCTCAACGCGAACACACTTGGGTTCGCGCAGCACCGCCTCGTGCGCGCAGGGTACAAGGGAGAGGTGGGCGCGGTCGAGCAGAGCGTGTTTGACGCGCTGCCGCAGGATCTGCACGCCCAGTACGACTCGATTGCGCTCTTTTACCTCTTCCACTGCCTCCCTGGTTCGTTCCCAACGAAGGCGAAAGAGGTGTTCGCGCGCGTGGTGCCTGCGCTCGCGCCGGGCGGCGTCGTATATGGCACAACGATCCTGGGCAAGGACGTGCGGCATAACTGGTTTGGGGGGAAGCTCATGGGGCTGTACAACGGGAAGGGCATCTTTGGAAACGCGGGGGACAGCGAGGAGGGCCTGCGCGAGGCGCTGCGGGATGCGTTCGAGGAGCACGATCTGCGCGTCGAGGGCGTCGTGGCGCTGTTCTCTGCGCGAAAGCCGCGGAACGCAAGAATCTGATCTCGCCGGTACGTCGCCCATCTTTTCGAGCTTCGCTGTCTCGTAAACTCTTATGTTGACGCCGGATGGTGTAACATTGACAGATGCGCCGTCGCGGCCCGCCGCTGGAAGGAGGTAGATTCGTTGACCCATGCATCTGTGCTACGGGTGCTGTCTCCATTGCAGAATGCAGAAAGGCAGCGATGTCAATTCCACCTGGGTGCCGTGATGCCGTTCTGGCACATCCTCCTCCGCCGATGACCATTTTTCTCACTTCGGTAGACGCACATCCTCGGAAGGGCGCCTGTCAAGGGAAGATCTTGTTCTCCGCCTTCGCCTTCCTCAACCTAGCTGCGACACGCGCGGGGCTCTGCTCGAATCAATGTCGCCGCTATGAGCGAAGGTGATGCGAGGCTCCGCCTTCAGCGGAGAAGAAGTAACATGAGGATGCGGGTCATTCAGCGGAGTTAGTCATCGTGCGGCACTGGCGTATGCCGTGAGCCTCATTCGGCGCAGACTCCGCGAGCAATGCTTCTCGCAATTCCCCATTCAGCGTTAGCTCGGCTGCAGTGCGGCGGAGACACCGGTTGCCGCGCCGTCAAGCCCTCGAGGTGAGCGCAGTACCTCGATCGTCCAGCTCAATTATCCACTGTACCGCACTGGTACCCTTCCCTACGCATCCGACCTCGGCCTATCCTCTGTCGAGGATATGTACATCCTTGTGTTTGCCCTATAAACGAGTAATGTGCAGGCTATATCGCGTCGATCTGTCAGCTGACGACATCGCAGGTGATCCGCCGTGTCAAACGGGAGGAATTCCCTCTCCGTTCCTCTTCCTTCGACGCTTCTCCCACCCTCGGCCCACGCTCCGCACGCGCACACACACGCCTCGGGCCTGATCACCCTCCCCTCCCCATCCCTCTTCTCCTCATGATCGCATCGCCCTTGGCACAGTTCCCGCACTCACTGAAGGGCCACCGCCTCTCCAGATCGGCGCGCAGAGTTCAGGGCCAGGCCAGCTGGACCCCGTCGCGGTGCAGCAACGTTCACTGCGGGAGAGCTTCGCGGCGCACGCCGGGGAAGCGCCTGCACGCCGCTCGCGTGCACTGTGACCTCCGCCCTGACAGGTCCCCACGCAGTGCGCGTCCCGGCGAAGCCCTATAACAGGGCCCCGTTGGAGTCCGAGGATAGCTCGAGACTCGTTGTTCCCGCCAGCCTCCCTGGACCCGCAGACCCGCGTCGCTGGAACTGATCACCGTGGAAGTGAAAATGGCCCTCTCGCCGAGCAACGCGACCGCTAGTGCGTCTTCGACTGCGGACCCGATGGCTGGTGCACCTGCGTTGCCTGCGTTGGACAACACGTATGGGGCGCTGACGCTCGGGACTGTGTTCGGTCTTATGTGAGCGTCTCGCTTGAAGTGTCGCGTCATGGACACTTTCTGACAGTATCGCACGTAGGCTATACGGACTTACGGTGCATCAGACGTACCGGTATTCAAGACTTTACCCGAAGGATGGGCCATGGCTGAAGCGTCTAGTAAGTAGAATTTCGATTCTCGACAGGGCACGTCAGCGCTTGAGTGAAATTGAGCTCATGCCACCCTGCCTAGGTTTGCGGGATCCTGTGAGATGCTTTACCCGGACCTGGGTCTTGTGATGTGGGGCATTGACAGTTTCTGTGGCGCAGAGCGTTTGAGACTTTGCACACGACTCTCGGCATTGCTGCAGTGTGGGTGTCCTTGAAGTGCAACTCTGATCGGCTCGTTGCTCACGTTATGGACTTCCTAGGTACTATCACCTCGTCACGAACTACTTCAACCCCGCCACTCTCTTGCTTGGCCACTGGTGAGAAGTGCTGCAGTACGACGGAGAGTGCGCCTATGATGTTGACGACATATTCTTCCTGTAGGTCAACAAGAGTGAGCAGATATGCTTCACGTACGACATCGTCGCTATGCTAATAGGACCGGATTTTACAGTTACTAACGCCGACAACGGTAAACATCGCTTCATGAACGGGGATTTACACGTTTCTGAGTTCGAAGTCCAGGGTCTCACGATCATTTTATGCCAAAGGTAACCTTTAATGTGTCTATAACCTGCACGATTGGTGACTGAAATCTTCTAGCTTCTATGCATTCCGAGTATACGTCAGTGCGTACTATCTCAGATCGTCACCGTCGAGATAAAGTCCTCACGGCTCGCTCTCACAGTTGGATCGCACTACATATACCGCGTGCTCGTCGGTCTCGCGGTACGTTCCTTATGTCCTGTCAGATACGATCCGCACATATGAACGGGCTCCTCCCACAGGCCGTGTTCATGTTCACCTCGTTTGGTGAGTCCGGCGCCCGCCCTCTGTTCTGAAAGTGTACTGAAAAGCGCCTATGTCAAGGCTTCATGGTCGCCGCCACTGTCGAAGGGTGAGTTCCGTCGGCAGTCCTTGATGCGTCCAGTCACCGAGTCCCCGTTGTCCCCACAGATTTATCCTAAGCCTAAGCGACTTCAAACGCGTCAGCGTACGTCTATCGTCTCTCGGACTCAGCTGCTGCTGGTAGTGATACGAGATTGTCGTAGTGGCTTGTATCGGCTATGTTCGGCTTTGCGGTGCTTGTGGATGTGTGCCTGACGGGCACGCTTGTCACCGTGCTCCTGCGTAGCCGCACAGGCTTCAAGCGGTGCGTACACGACCATGGTGGCAGTGGTGTTGCCGCTCATCAAGACGATCTTGCGTACAGGACGGACTCGCTGATCGAAGTGCTGATCGTCTACGCGATTAACACGGGTGCGTATCCACACTTGTACGGATGGATAGCGCTCACCTCTGGTTCTGGGGCTTGTTTCAGGTCTTTTGACGAGGTGATTGAGATTCGCCGGGGAAATGCAGATTACTGTAACTGATCGCGTGCTATGCAGCATCTTTGGATTGCTATGCTTCATCTTCGTGAGCACCGTCGTCACCTACCTCGCTCGAGCTGAATACTGATTGGTTGCAATGCACAGGCGATCATTCTCCCGGGGAACCTCATCTACATCGGCTTCAGTATAGTCGGAGTCAAGCGTACGTCGCCTCCCGCGAGTCTTGGCGCCTCTGTTAATCACCGCTTTGCCTGCAGTGTACGCGAACTCGGTGCTTGCTGTGTAAGCAGCCATCCTCATTAACGCTATCAAGCGCGAAAGGCGTGCTCACCGGACATGCTCACTCATCTCGTGCGCGCAGTCTCAACTCCCGCCGGTCGCTCTCGGACCGCATGTTCGAATCCGCCTTCGAGATGGGCTCGTTTGAGCCGGGCCGCTTCCTCCAACCGCCGCCCCACGGCGGTGCCGAGGCCTGGAAGGCCCAGCAGGTGAGCTCGGCCGCCGCCCTAGGTTCTCGTGCCGCTCCGAGGAGATCGCTGATGTACGCGCGTCGGATGCAGATGCCGGTACGGTCGCTGCCGACGAACACGGAGATCGTGTTCACCTCGGTCCAGTCGATGGGCGGTAACACGGACTCGACGGGGTTGAGTACCGCGGAGTACGATAAGCGACACGCGCATGAGTTCGTGTGAGGGGCGTGTCCGGTCACTGTGCGTGAGGATGGTGATTTAGGATTTGAGGCCGAGGGTCACGCATCAGGAAACCCCCCGGCTGGCCATTGCCGTGGGCCAGCCCACATTGTAGCATATAGTGTCTGTAGTGCATTATAGTGCACCTACAAAGATTGTAGTATATATAGTGCACTGTAGAGGAGACGTCGACAATAATACCCAACAGAGCAATGCACAGACATCAGGCATCCCGGTTGTACAACGGTACGGTGGTATAGCCTAACAATTGGCGCCATTACTACTACTAGTACATGACCGAGTACATTAGAGACCTACGCCCGCCTTCCCGGCGGGTATACCAGCGCTAACACATCGGGGGCAAGCTGCTCCTTCAATCGCTTAACGGCATGACGGGTGACAGGGGAAGGGGGTAGCTCGACGGCAATGCGCTTGCGAGTCCTCGGCGTCAAATGACAGCCTGTACGAAGGTTCGGAAACGGCACAAACGTCTGAGGGATACATTAGGATCACAGTTCACGTGTTTAGTACTAATGCTTAACGTACGGGTGGACTCTCCATGTCCGCAACAAGCGTGTCACCTTCATCCACTATTGCACCACCCCCCTTAGCGGGAGGCGTCTGAGCTCGCACCCATCCGAGCCGAAGGAACCGCAGTGCATCATTTCGGCCTTCTCGGCGTCCATCGGAGTAGCCAAGATCGTAAGCATCTTCGAGGGGGTCATGCTCAGACACCGTGTCGCAGTCAGAGTCGCAGACGGCGGCGTCAGTAGCGGCCGGGGCATCCGCAGAGCTCGCTTTGGAGGGCGAGTATGGCGCATGAACTGACAGTGGTTCAGGAAGATGCAGAGGTGGTGACGGGGACGAAGGGTGAGAAGATGATGTAGACGAAGGATCTGATGGCTGACGTGTTTGCTCCAGGATTGGCGAGGAAGCCTGCGAGAGAGACACCGACGGCAAGTCGGATAGGGATTGGGAAGGTGTTGCCGGATCTGGGCGCGGGCTGGGAGACAGGCCCTGGAGGAATTCGCGCGGCGCGGAGTGCGCCATAAGATAAGAGTAGGTAACCCGGTCATAATCTGAACGACAGTGGAGTTAGCAACAGTGCATGCTATCAACATAGGGATGTAAACGTACCCGGGGATTCACTGCCGCTGGATGTCGAGCCGGTGTCGTGTGGGTGATGGGTTTGTTCACCTTCCGATTCAGTCGCTGTGGCCGAATGGTTCTCATGCTCCAGCGCTACGAGAGGGGACGGTTCACGCGCAGCTTGAATGTGTTGTGAACCGGTCGCGATGCAAGCAGATAACGAACAGTCGGCATGGCCGCACATCCCATCAGAGAGTCGAGAAGCTACAGAGGCCGTCTATGGCCGCCGATGGCATTAGAGCATGCAGAGCCAAGGAGAGTCAACATAACGCACCACAGACGTATCATGAACGCTTGTCCGAGTCGGATCTGGCCTACTTGGCACAGCAGGCCACTCTGCATCCTCCGCTGGCGATCTCTGAGGCCCATTGTTTGCGTTCTTGAGTGTTAGCTTGAGCTGCCCGTGGGGCGTGCCGAGTGTGATGTTGACGTTGTACTCGGTGTCAAGGGGGGGAGGGTTCAATGTAAGAGAGAAGTCGCTCGTCATGGGGGTGGATGTGCAAGAAGAAAGGTTGGCTGGACGTCTCGGACATTACGAAAACTTAAAATGAGTCATGGTCTCCTACCAGAAAAGGCAGGTGAGCGCCTAGCAGCATTTGTGGGCTCGGGACCCACCAGTGCTACTTGTAGTACTACATACAGCTCGACGTGTGCGGCACAGGAGCCGATGCCAACACGGTGTTCGCACTGTCTTTCTCCTGCCGCGGCCGCCCTATTGCATGCGTGTTGATGCGGCGTCCTCCTCGCGCTCACTCTACGCGCGCGGCCCCAAGGAATACGATCGCGGGGAGCGCGAGGACGACTCGTGCGCGCTCCCATCCATAGAGCACCCACGCCCTTACACGGCAGCGCCGTATGTGCCCCGCGCGGTGTACGCGCGGTCAGTGCGCGGACACGGCACTGTCATCGTCGCTCGTGCCTGCTGATGGGACGTCCAACTACAACAGTGAGTGGTGTAGGAAACGATAAGCGCATCATGCATATGCTCACCTCGAGAACATGCTCAGGTCGTCCGCCCACAGGACAGAGACTTTCACGCACGCGCCCTTGCCAGCGCCGTCACTGATGTTTCAGCTCCCGGACAGGGCGGCGATGGACCGCCGGGTGGGTGTCAGTGAGAGCTCGGCGCTGCCGTGGTAGAGGGCACAGGAGGGGAGGGGAGTGGCACGGGAGGGGAGAGGTGCGGATGCGCGAGTTCGCGCGGTCGGCACCGACAACGATATCCGCTCCAGTCGCCGCGATGTTCGTGAACGTGAGCGCGGCGTGCTGCCTGCCCTCGAGCAGCTGGATGGAAGCGACGGCGACCGCGTCATCGGGCATGGCAATGAGTAGGATGTTGTACAGAGCATGGTGGTCGATCTCGGGGCAGGTGTTCTTCAAGTCGTCTGCACCTGCCTCCGGGCTGTCCCGGCGGAAGAGACGCACACCGCGGCCGTCCCCGGGCCTTGCCACTGATGCTGGCCTCTTCGGCATCGCGGCGCTCGTACGCGGAAGGCGCACTGGAGTTCCACTCGAGGTCAAGCATGCCGCCGACCAGCGGATTTGAAGTTGACTCGATTGTGGCGGCCGCTCGTTGCAGCGAATCTACTCGAATATCATGCACTGTTTACGAGCAGGCCCTTTGATTAGCATACGGCGGTAGTCAATATGTGAAAGTCTTGCTCACCGCGCGAGGCTATCGAATGTGTGGTAGTCCAAATACCGATTGAAACAGAAGGTGATGGGTTCATCGAGGAGATCCGGGGCAGCCCAGTCGGCGTTCAGGACGTCTTGCCCGAATTTCGGGATGAGGTGGCATGGTCGGAGGAGGTCGCTTGCTTCGACTACTGTCGCATTACGCTTGCCCGCGCGGGTCGAGCGCGAAGTTGACGGCATGCCCGTCACAGGATCTGGGTTACGGAACGGACGGAACCATTCGACATACATCAGCGGCGAGTCGTATTTCAGCCACTCAGGTAATCGAAAGATCGCTCTGATCCTCCCTGCACGCAGGCCTGTATTATTATGCAGGTTAGTCTGGCGTAATGTAGTTGATATGAGCTTAGCGGTCATACCTTCAAGCCCGCCTTCTTGACGGTAGACATCTTCCTCTTGTATGAAAAGGCCACAATCGAAGTGGGGAGGAATGGGGCGACGGTCGCGGTTGCGGGGGATCGCTGGGCTCGCGCGTATCTTGCATATCCGCTTGTGGTTTGCGAAGTGTATGTTGGCAGGCAGCAGCACGTTGATAGCGTGGTAGACGTCGATTTCGATGGATGTGAGGGCACGGAGCCGTGGGGGATGGTCGATGTTGCTGAGGAAAGCGTTCACTTCGACGAGAAAGTCGGGAGCACCGTAGCCTGATGCAAGACGCTCTAGGGTGACTCGTCGCGCAGTGGGCGTGAGAGTAAGCTGGAAAGCGCGCGACACGTTCGAGTTCATGAGTTGACGAAGCGCCTGAACCTCTTCGTCTTGAGCTTCCGCCGTGTTTGCCTGTTGCTCTGCTTCATCGGCGGCCTCTTCCTCCTCTTCATCGGCGTTCTCCTGCTCGACCTCGCGATCATCAAGAAACGCCTTCAGATCCTCATCAAGCTGTCCAGTGTGCCACGCCAAGTACGAGTCTCGCCGCTCGATAGCCTCCTGCCTCTGTAGCCAGGTCGTCATCTGGGTGTAGTACTCGCGCCGACTGCTTGCACGGTAAGCCTTTTTCGCGTAGTCAATATGCAACCTTTCTGATGTCTCGGTGTTAACGCCATCCAGGCATCCCAACCGACGAATGGCGTCGACGTAGTGCACCAGCGAATGAACCTTGGGTATGTTGAAATGTTCGCGGATTTCGTGTTTAATGAAGGCCTCCTTGTGGCGATGGAAGGAGTCCAACGCTCGCTTCATCTGCCCCAGTGTAGTTTCTGTGTGGACTTCGTACTGCGCGTAGTACACAAAGTCAAGGAGACCTCGCGCGGCCTTCTGAATTTCGGAGTCGGCGCGTCCAGCGATGACACCGAGCAGAATTTTCTCCAGCTCCTTCGCCTCAGTCCCCGTCCATTGGGAGATCAGAGAGATCCCTTTTTTGAAATGACGGAGGCCATGGCTCTCGGGCATCGCCGCGACACGTTCATCGACCGCTTTCTTCCCGACGAGTTTCTGACACCACGGCAGGAGGTGGTCCTTGATGACCCCCTTGTGAATTTGATGGAGGATGTCGGGCGTGATGCACTCGAACATGTCGGTGTGCGGGAGGTTGGCCCAGAATGGTCGGTAGACTGGGCGGAGTCCTTGCGTCGTGAACCGCGCGGGGTCCTCGCCTTCTCCGACTCGTCGTAGAAGGTCGGCTGTGGCTGCGTGGTTGCGTGCGGGAAACCGCTTGCGCTCTCCTCGTTTTTTCCGTGGAACGAGACAACGAGGGCACCGGTTTTCTTTGCAGCAAGCGATGAGACATTGTTCGGGGTAGTCCGCAACGTAGGCCGCCAGGATCGGGAAGACACGACGGATGTGACCGTCCGCGCAGGTCATCACTACACCAGTCGTACCAGCGGCGACGAGGGTGGAGAAGATTTTCTCCATGCACGTGTGGAATAGCCTGTACAGGGCCTCGGATCGTGTCGCCTTAGAGAAGCTGTGGAACTTGCTGACGGGGATATATCCAAGCAGGACGGTTGCATGAGCAGAGGGCTGCCGCCGGACAGCTTTGTCGATATTGCCGATCGACAAGTAGACGGGCCACGCCGTTTGGTCGCCACTGTGGGCTGTTAGGTTCGTTTTGTCAGACGCGATGATGAGCGGTGCGATGACTGCGCCTGACGGAAGCTTTCCCTACATAGACCTGTAAGCATCACGTCGACTCGGAGTGATCATACTATTACTCACCTGTAGATTCCACCACCAGTCCGCCGTGTTCGCCTCGCTGTAGTACCGCACACCATCCCGGGTGACCTTCATCGGCCCGTACGCCATGTACTCTTTGAACGCGGGATTGCCTATGAGGTCGCGACAGCACTCAACAGGGTCTCGTCGCCAGAGCTCCAACTCCTCGGTGAGCACTTCCCCGTTTGGGCCGCGCTGATCTCCGACGACGTTGATGATGTCGCAGATCCATTCTGCGCCAGTCGGAAGCTTGTCTATCTTTTTGAAGAATGCCCTCTTGTTCTTGAAACTGAGGTTCATTCGGTTGCGAGTCTTACGAGCAAGGTTCACACGTCAGTAGTTTCCAGATACACTTCGAACGAGAGTCTTACGATAGGCAGCTTGCAGAATTCATCTATTCCTGTCTGTGTCGTCCTCTTCATCATCCACTTCACTATACCCCATTCCTCCTCGTCGGTGAACGGGCCGTACGCAGACTCGCCGAGAGCCTCTTGCTCTTTGCGATAGTTCTCGAAGTGAGTCACTGCAGCGCCGAGTGATTCAGCGACTAAACCAGGATAGTCTGTGCAGACCCATGGGCCGTGTCCGCCCTCAATGTCTTCAATCTCTTCGACAGTCACCCTGCGACGCTTTGAGGCCCGGTCAGTGCTCGTCTCTGCGTCTCTGGCGCTCCCGAGGGATTCCGAACGCTCTTCGTCAACAGCGCCGTACAAGTCGTGAGGTCCCAGAGCGGAAGCAGGGCTCGGAGGGGCATTGCCATCCTGCGCGTTTGGAGATGGGCTGCGTGGGTGAGTTGCAGCTGCAAGGTTGCGCAGGGCTGCCGTTTGTGCTCGTTCGTTGTAGACGTCCTCACAGACAGGGGTTCTCCCTAGATGACGACCATGACTAGCGGTATTGTCAAAGCGAGTTTTGCAGCCAAGACAGAAGACGGGAGCCATGGAACAGTGAGTTTCAAAGTAGTGTTGATGCGAGGATAGCGACTGACAAGTTTCCCTAGGACATCTGCTGCTCAACTTGCTCGGCCGTTGCCGGCAAAATATGGCAGCCCGTTTTGCAGTCAAAGGAATGCTTACGTGAGGTGGAATTTGCCCGCGCCCGCCCAGGCCAACCTGCACTGCGCTGACTCCTTCCACCAGCTTCACGAACCGCTACGTGTCCACCATGCCAACTCGAAAAGAAGCGGACAACGACCCGGATGAAGAGCGTCTCTCTAAGCGTCCTCGTAAGCCCACGGAACGGGGTCAGCTCTACGGTCTGCTTTTTCATTATTTGCCCCGTGTCGCGCTGGCGGCATATTTGCTCACATTTTCTGTGCCAGCGCAAGCTCGCTCGGAAGGTGCCAAAAAGAACACGAAGACACGCGAGAAGGCATTGCCACCAACGCAAGGGAAAAATGTATCCGCAGCGAAGCCGCAGAAGACGTCGACCTCTGCAAGCAAAGGTAATGCGCAACACGCCGGCGCATCCGCAGCAAAATGTAAGTACAATATCAATATTCTTCCGTCCTCGGCGGAATCTCTCATGTACCGCCCTCTTCCAATCAGCCAAACGCCGCCACGATGAGGTGAGTAGCACTTATTATAAGCCTCAAGTGATATTGAAAATTTGTTGTCGCTCCCCCGTCGGGCACGGCAGTTCCGCATAGAAACATTGCCGACAAACCGCACCAGCGAGAAGGCCAACCCAATCGACATGCATGCCCGTGCACGTGCCCTACCCCGCACCTCTGACTCCGAGCCAGCCGCCTCTCGCGCAGCGGCGGACAAGGCATCCGCTCAGCGCCAGCAACCTGAACGCCACTCGTCGGCATCCACTGTAAGCGCACTACTACTAGACCACACCAGCTACAGACGTTCATTGATATATCTCCGTAGAGCTCACGTCGTCTGACCCAGGAGAGTGCTGCCAAGCTGGCGGCATTGAGAAATCCGTACGCGTCTCAGTCGCGGCGTGAGTCGGCCCCGTATGGCCATTCAGTCGATCGTGGGCACTCCATGCCACGTCATCGTTCCGGGTCCCCTCAGGAGGTGCACGGGCCCCGCAGGTCCAGTGCGACTGATCAACAACGCCAGTCGCATCACCGTCGTGAAGATGCCACAGGATACACGTCAGCTCCGTTTCAAGTGTCGTCCAGGGGCTCTCAAGCACGCGCGTCTGAACGTCCGCCGTCACCGCAGCAGCTGCGCTCATACCAAGTGTCTACCTTGAACACGCAACGTCACTCCGGACAAGTAAGTGTTTGAATCACGGCATTATGCCAACACATTGTCATCCGTGCGACTGATGATCTGACAGCTACCGTTATCGCAAAACCATTACCACCTGCAAGAAGCCATCGCCACACCAACAAGAGACGATCAAAGAGGATATGGTAAACTTCGTTTTGCACAGCACCTGCTTGAAGCTTACATCTGCATGCTAGCATCGCAACCGACTTTCCATGACGAGCGCTACGATCAGTATGATGCAAATCATATGTTTGATTACTCCTCACAGCCCCGTGCGCACGCCCGTGCCCTTGCATACGAGGATGGCGCAAACCAGCGCTCTCAACCCCAGCAGCTGTTGTAACCAAATACTGTTACGAACCGTTAATCCGCCGTGACCGTTTTGCATAACGAACCGTCAAGGTTCGTGACGTGTCACGAAGCCCCGGGGGACCTCCGGGAATTACCTAGAAAGGCAGGCAGCCCCGGGGGAGGCCTGTTATCTCTAGGGAGATAACAGATAGGCCCAATCTGGATAGATAACGACCTAATCTTACTGATTAGGCAGTTCCCCTTATCTCCCGCGCCCCCCGGGCCTCCCGATAGCCTCGGGCTTCCGGCGGCTATTTCTCCCTTTGACCACTACACCCAGGTAATTGTACACCCCATAGCTCACTCATTTATCCACCAATTTGGCTCATTCTGGGCGCGTTCTGAACGCATTTTTAGGGCGAACAAGACGTCGCAAACGCGCTGCATATCAGGTGCGCGTTCCATGCGCTACCCAAGTACTAACCATCCCCCTTGGGTGCAGTAATCGGGCTATATCTCGCCCGTATCATGTCGCGGCGACACGCAAAGGATATCCCCATATTAGGGCTACCTACGCGGTTCTAAAGAGCCCCCACGCGCGCAAATCCGTCCAGCGGTTGCGACGCGACGCCTGCCCCACCTCAGGGGCAGGCCTGCATACCCTATCTTCATCAAAAGTGGGTCGATTTCCTTCGTAAATGTCTCGTTTTGTAGCTACCTTACCCTACATCCAGGGCGATGCATTCGCACGGCCGCGCGCCTTGGGAATCCGGCCAGGGAGGGCGAGCAGTGCTCAGCCACTGCAGCCTTCCCTGGCTGATATCTCCATCGTGTCTCCACCGATTAACACGGTTCTTACACCGTCAGAAAGCTGCTGAAAGCCGCTATCCGGCGATGTATATGACGTTGAAATCCGTCCGTTGCACGCAGCGATCTCCCCATCCCCTCCTCCTACCTCCCTCACCTTGTCTGTCCTCCATACAAGCATGCATGTAGGGTGACTAGTGCTGTAACAGGTCCATAAAGTGTTCATGTACTCTGCTAATAGCAGTGAGATGCTAGAATGATGTTGTATGTAGTAAAAACCTGTTTTCTAGTGTTTTTACACACCCCTGCCACAGAATATCCAATATCTCGGTCATTTCGTGGGCGATTTCCATGAATGTTTTTAGAGCCTGTAGCCAGGATGTAGCACTATCAGAGCGATTTCTTACTTTTGCTATCGGGTTCTTATGGACTCCACGATGCTCTTATCAGTATCCAGAAGGAACCTCGTGTGGGTCCGCCTACAGCGCCCCTGTGGCCATGCGAATGCCATCGCTGGAAAGCGGCTGAGAATACGAATCCAATGCAGTTTGAATCATAAATCTACGTTGGGAAACCATGGAGTTATGGCTAGAGAGGTGCTAGAGCCCCATAGTGCAGCATAGCACAGCTTGGCGCCGTTAAGACAGTCTTAAAATCTCGCGGCCTGCACTGCTGTGCAGTACTGCAATACCAGCCCCTGGCAGAGCTTCCTCCATAGCACTGTCAATTCTTCACCTAAAAATACGATTTTTTTTGCGTTGGATTCGCATTCCCAGACGCTCTCAGGATCAATCATTCGATTGGCCGCTTGAAGACGTAGAGGCCTACCAATTGTTTGATCCTGCACAAGCTGATGGGGTGTTTATCATGTGTATATTTTCCCGATAAGCGTGTAGATGGGCGCATTCGATGCGCATGTACTATAACTAACCAATGAAAAAGAAATGAAGATAAACACTGCCGAAACGCGCGAGATATGGCTCAAACAGTGTAGATGGTGCCAAACATTGCAGAAATTACCATTGCCTCAGTCTTTGAGGATTGAAGACGTTAATAGATGCCTGTGAGTACTGAGTGAAGAGTGTTGTGCGCTGTGAGACCATTTCCCGACAAATATAGGCCTGATATAAGTAGGAATGTTGGATAGGGAGGTAGGAGGAGGGGATGGGGAGATCGCCGCTGTCCATGGACAGATTGCAACAGCGTATACATTTCCGGATAGCGGCTTTCAGCATCTTTCTGACGGTGTATACGCCGTCACAATCGGTTGGGAAACGGCTGAGATATCAGCCAGGGAGAGCTGCAGTGGCTGAGCACTGCTCGCCCTCCCTGGCCGGATTCCCAAGGCGCGCGGCCGTGCGAATGCATCGCCCTGGATGTAGGGTAAGGTAGCTACAAAACGAGACATTTACGAAGGAAATCGACCCACTTTTGATGAAGATAGGGTATGCAGGCCTGCCCCTGAGGTGGGGCAGGCGTCGCGTCGCAACCGCTGGACGGATTTGCGCGCGTGGGGGCTCGTTCGAACCGTGTAGTAAACACGATATTGGGGATATCCTCCGCGTAGCACCACGACAAGATACGGGCGATGTATCGCCCGATTACTGTGCACAATAGGGGATGTTAGTACTTCGGTAGCGCGCGGAACGCGCACCAGATATGCGGCGCATTTGGTTCGTCCTGTTCGCCCTAAAAATGCGCTCAAAACGCGCCTAATATCAGCCCAAACGGACCGGAAATGAAGGAGATATCAGGCAGGTACCTACCTGGGTATGCTGCACAAAGGGGCAAATAGCCGCCGGGAGCCCGAGGCTACCGGGAAGCGCCGGGGGCACGGGAGATAAGGAAAGCTGCCTAATGAGTAAGATCTGGCTGTTATCTGTCTAGATTAGGAGGATCTGTTATCTCTGGGGAGATAACAGGCCTCCCCGGGGCTGCCTGCCTTATTAGGCAGCTCCCGGAGGCCCCCCGGTGCTTCGTAACACATGACGAAAATAGACGGTTCGTTATGCAAAACAGTCACGGCGGATAAACGGTTCGTAACACTATTGTGCTACAACATATGGTGTCAACCCGCCCCGAATGCGAACGAGCTTTTTGACGATGGCGATGGTGATCGCACTACGTACGACAACAACTCCAGGGGTCAGCCCTCGCCGCCGCCGGCCATGTCGTACAGCAATGAAGACGCCGGTTCGTGGTCGCCACCGCAAGGCAACTTCAGCAACTTCGCCGCTGGTGCGTTCGACTCAGCTGGACGAATCCCGCGCGGCCGCACACCCAGCGACCTTTCGTACAACGGAGAAGACCCTGCACCTCAGCAGCAACCTCCGCAGCATCGTCACGGGGCACGATCACCCGCATACGACGACCATCAATCGTCCCCACCGCGCGGTGAGGACGATGAGGACGATGAAGATCAAGACGAGGACAACCACGAGCCGACTTCTCGTGAGAAGTTCCCGAAGGCCCAGCGCGCCGCCGCAGATGGGCCAGGTAGTACCAACCGTGCTAAACAAGGCAACTACGACCCGGAAGTGAAGCAGGCCATGGCGCTAGCGGTCGTCTATTTCAAGAGCATGATCATGGCCGAGGATGCGTATCCTGACAAGTTAAAAGAGAAGATCTGGGCATCCACTTCGTGGTACAAGGCTGCAGAGAAGTTGTCGGTAGAGTTGGCGCCTACAGCGGAGATCTTGGGATTGGTATGTGCACATCCCACTACTTGATCCTCGCGACATTGAGCTACGGTCTTCATCACAGATTGCACAATATTCTTGGAATCTGCGCGGCGAGATCAAGGTCGCAGCTCGAGGACTGGTGCAGGGAACATACGCGTTCAAGCCGTTCGTCGACACGGCTTCACAGGACTACAATCGCCAGCTTTCAGCGATGTTAACCCGCAACCGCACGTTCACCTACGACGTAAGTATCTACCTCATCTTAGTCGGCCATACTAACTGCGTGCACCCCAGATCATCGATAAAGTAGACGACAATCATGAAGGTCTTTACGAAGCCTCGGTAATCCAAATGGTTGTCAATCGCGTCTTTTACAAGAACCCCTCCGACGATGGCATTGTCCTCGATACTGTATACCATCCCTTCCCGGAGCAAGCCCTCGCTTTGGTCCTTACGGCGGTACGTACCATCTGCACAACTTGAAAGATGTGCTAATCACGTCCTCGCCATAGATCCAGTGTGCCATCGACGAGTGGAACACTGGTGCATACCGCAATGTCACCTTCTCCGAAAACGATTACGGCGCTGTTTACGAGAAGCACCGTCGTGAACTGAAGGAGTTTGAGCTCAGGTCGGGGGCGGATAGGATTTTGACGGAGATTCGGACGAAGCTTTCGAAGCATGGTCGGTGAGTCAAAATCTGGTCCGAGTCTGCGTGCACCTTCGTCACCCGTTCCTTCCACCCTACCACACCAAATGCAAGTCTCGCTCTCCCCCCCCCTTTCGGTGATTGATGTACCTTTCATCCTCCCCCCTTGTCTCCGTGTGTGGGTCACTCGCCGTGCTCATCCGTGGGCACCACGCCCAATCATGTCACCCACGCCCACTCACTGGCACGCCGCCCACGCCCACTCACGCCGCCCGCGCCCACTCACGTCGCCCTCGCGCAAACACGTTGTTACGCGTCGCCCTTGCGCAAACACGTCGTCCCGCGTCGTCCTCGTGTAAACGCGTCTCGCGTCGTCCTCGTGCAACGGTGTTCGCTCATCTCTCCGGATCGCGCCCAGACTCACCGGGGGGGTGCTCCCAGGTGTATGGGAGCCTGCTGCGTCGATGATGTGCGCCATACGCACCCCGTCGGCGCGCGACGTCGATGGCATGGCAGCGCCGCTGGCCTCTGGCTCGGTGCGTCGCGTACACGGTTCGCGCTGTTGTATGACGTCCGCGGTATCACGAGGGTTGCTCGTCGGGCTCGTCGAAATGTGTCATGTCGCGTCGTCTTGTCGCTGCGCGATCGCGTCGTCGCTGCGCAATGGCGTCGCGTCGCGTCGTCGCTGCGCAATTGCGCCGCGTCGCCTTGTCGCCGTGCGAGTGTGTCCCGTCGACTCGACCGCGACGGAGCCCCGCCACCTCGTTGTTGCACGACTGCATCCTGTCGCCTCGTCGTGGCACAATCGCGTCGCTTGGCATCGTCCTCACACGATTGTGCACCGTCGCGCTGGGCTCCGAGTCCGCTCCGAGTCCTGCACGCGATCAGTCCGATTGTGTGCCCGCACAACACATTGCTTTCTCCCTCTCTGCGTCCACTGCGCGTTCCGTCCATGGACTTGGTCCCCCTTACCGCGCGCGATCACTTCTGTGACATGTGCATGCTCGTGTCTTTGCTGTATCCGGTCACTGACATGATATTTCTGTCCCATCTTAGGTTGAATGCGAAGGCGCCTGCCATGCGCCGTGAAGACGAATCGTCGCTAACGCAGGATGCGATGGACCGCGCTGTCAGGTCTTATAATCGCCGTAAGCAGGCTGCCTTGCGCGAAGGCAGCCCCAGGCAGGACAACTAGGTACCGGGTACTGTAGCAGGCATATGGGGTTCACAAGGCTGGAGTAGATGACTTGTCTGTAACGCTGTTGCATATTGTATAGCTGTATCCTATGGTATTCGTGCCTGTTGCCTACTACTGGGCTCTTGAGCAGCATTTGGCAGCTATGTGATTCATTTGGGTACCCTGTGGGAAGCCAATATCATAGTACTATGAATATTATGCCTGATCAATCTTGCACGCCATAGTACAATATAGCACGAGCGTCTACTATGGGCGACTGTGTAAACGGCAAGTCGCAATGTGGCAATGGCGCCTACATAGTACTCATTGCACAATATTGTTAGCCGAGGGTTTCCTGATGCGGTTATGATGTACGTTTTGATGCTTGGGTGTCTCGTGGGCTCCATATGATCGACCAGTATGTCATGTAACTTATGAGGCATGCATTGTGTATCTGTAGTTCGGCACTTGAATACGGTTGGAATCCCAAGTAGCCACTGCGTGAGATAACGTCTCCACAAGGACGATTGCTTCGCGTACGGTCCCAGGGGATACGCCGCCCTTTCTGATCTCCAGTGAGGCAATGTGCACGCCATTCCTGAAGATTCAATGGCTATCAAGCATGCACCGAGCAACCGTGTATAGGTACGGCCGCTCGGGACCGCGTTGCCTCGCTCACGGCGTTTGAGCGTCAGATCTGAATCGGGGGGCTGATAGCCTTTGATCCTAACAACAGCAAATATCGCCGTCGGGAACGCCAACGCCCGCTCTCAACGCTCTGCTGCTCCGCCTCGTCGGGAGAACCGCGAGCGAAGGCGCAACAAATGCGTTCTTTGATCTGGAAGCTCTCGAGCGCGAGACCGTCTCGTATGCTTTATGGCCCATTGCACACCACCGTCCTGGCATGAGCTCGAGGAGCATCCCGGTGTTTCTGCTGGCAGCCGGGCTGTACTCGTCTCCTGTCGGCCCACTCGTGCTCCCTTTTCATCTCGGTTCCGCTTTGGCTTATTCACAGAGCGGTCTTATAAGTACAGAGTCCGGCCCAGCTCCACTGGGCAACCAACTCCTTCTCTAGGTAGCGCGATGGGACTGCCCGCTATCGACAACACGCTCGGGGCGGTCTTCATCGGCACTGTCCTCGGATGCATGTGAGTTACTCTTTTCGTAATCATTGTACTCGCGTATGACCTCTATGACTGGTAGACTCTACGGCCTCATTGTATATCAAGTGTACCGATATACTGTGGAGATCAGACCATAGCGGGCCCGGTTGTGACGTGTGACCGGTTTGATACGTAGCGGGCGTGCGGGGAGGCGCCCAAAATTACCATATATGGTGATTTGGCGCCGGTGTCGGAGCGAAATTTGGGCGCTTAGGGCCCAAAAACCCCGAGTGACCAGTGACCGGCCAAAAAATAGCGGGGCGGGGACCCCCCTGTGACATGTGACGCCCCGCTATGGTCTGATCGCCACAGTAACCGCTTGTTTCCTGAAGACCCCCTCTTCTTGAAAGGGCTCGTGAGTCATATTGTAAGTGTACGCGAGTCCCACGACTCCCCGAATCCCGCAAGTACTCTGGACCGGGCTTGATTGCTCGGCGTACTCGCTGGATGGTGGGGGGTGGTAGAACTCTGCCCCCACCAGGCGCCCGAGGCCCGAACCTTCGGGCGCCGTACGCTTACGTACGATACATGAATGGCGGTATCTAATCTACGGGCGCCTAGATGCGCTAGTTCTCCGCGATTCCCGGAGAACACCTTCTCCTACTGAAGTGGACGTTCCCGTCCAGGCACTATGGAGTGCCGGTAGTAAGTAAGAACCGTCGGGTTCTTACACTCTCCCTCCCTAGACCCGTGCCGGGTCTCCAAATAATAATACAATGGAGTAAGGGTCACAACTTGGAGTGACGGTGGCACAGTATTTACATGGGTTCCATGTGCTGCACACACATGGGCCCTATAGTACAAGGGTGCGGCGTTGAAGCCGCTATGATACATCATAGCCCCGTCGGTTTCGACGCGCTACGAGGACGCGTCTGCGTCCATTCACCCAGAATGCTCGTTCGCGACGGGGGTGATCCGTCCGAATGGTGACGTGCTCGCATTCTGG